TTCCACGAAGTTGGTCGGTTAGAGCTTTCATGAGTAAAGCGCATTTAGGTATGGATCGTTTATAGAAACTGCTATAACTGTGACGGCAGATTTGAGGGTAGCGAATTATCGATCGGACCAAAGACGCGCAAACACGTAGAACGACCTAGGGTTCTGATTGGCTCCGGCTCCCTATCTAGCCCAGCAGTTGAGTCCAGAACGCAAGTCACAGCCTCGGTTATATGAACCATTATATTTCAAACATACTTTGTTTATATACCAGTCAAGCAGACCACAACGTACCATAAATTAGAAAATAACATTGTACAATATTGACAAGCAGCAAAATGACACGTGAAACAAGTACTGACCAATAAGGAAATAATACCATCTCCAAGTCCAAGAATAGCATTAGACTTAATAGGATAATTTCTGGGATATTTTCCTGAATATCCCAACAGAAACTTACAAGGCCGTTAAACGTTCGTAGTTGCTTGATCGTGGTCGGTTCCGGGTAATCCAGAATTGCCGCCACTTTGGCCCTAAGGGGTCGAATGCCTTGTGCACCTATAATGTGTTCTAGGAAGTCTAATGAGTCGGTCCCTATTTGGCATTTCTGAACTTTTACAGTAATGCCATAAAGTCCGAAGGGAGTAATGATGGCAGTTTCCGGAATGTCGTCTATAGTCATAAGGATTTGGTTATATGATTTAACCAAGTCGATTTTTGACAAAACAGTCGTACCTTTAAAGGTAGCTGTCAAATCGTGAATGTGAGGTAACGGGTAACGATCGGGAGTGGTTTTTGCATTCAATCACCGATAGTCACCATTTGGATGACAATCGTTGCTGTCGTTTTTAGGGACCATGTGCAACGGAGATGCATATGGGCTATTTGACGGTCGTATGACTCATAAGTCTATCATATGGTCGGACTCGTTTTTCGCCAACCTTAGCTTTTCGGGGGCTAGTCATCGTGCTTTAGAGAATACAGGTGGTCCTGTAGTCGTGATGTGCTGTGTAACGTTGCTGGTTACACACGGTATTTTCGGTTGCGTTTGATGAATCCCAGGATACTTATCGAGTAGCGGTTGATAAAGTGGGTCTATCGTATGCTTGATTGTGACTGCAGATAATCTGCAACCAGAAAAAGAAGTTACGCAAACGGATAAATTAGTGTTTCCGTCTACTAGCTTCCGTTTGAGCGTATCGATGATTAAATTATGGTGTTGTAGAAGGTCCATACCAGTGATTGGCATAGAAACATCTGCAACAACGAAGATCTAGTGAATGGGTTTGCGTAAACCCACGTTCAGGTAAACATACCTTTTGCCATACGTAGCGATCGGTTTTCCATTTGCCGCCTGTAAGTTTAGAGCCGATTCGTGAAGTCGGTCATCAGGATTTGCTGGTAGAACGCTAACTTCTGCGCCAGTGTCTACGAGGTAGAGAACTCTCGTTGTCACATCTGTGACGTACAACAGACAGCTATGTTCGCCGGCAACGGTCGCCGTTAGTGCGTACCGGCTTGGAAGTTTCCCGAGTTGTTTTTCGAGTCAGTCGTTTTCGTGTTGGGAAAATTGCAGGGTTTTCTGCAAACTGGTTATGACACCAGCACTAGTCGGGATTATCTGTCTCTCGAGGTCTAGAGACAGATCGCTTACGTGAAGTGCTTCTACGTGGAGTGTGTGAGCGATTATGGTCGTTACGAAGATTAAGATAACGCGTGAGTGTATGACATAACTCGGTTATGTCATTCTGAGACATTTGAGGCTTGTCTTTGACTGGAAAAACTTTGGTAGTAGAAGATTTCGTAATTTCTAAGATACGATCGGCAGATGCAGCCAGCTCGTCTTAGGCGTTGTTCTGAAACGAGACCAGAACCGCTTGCACCTGTTGGGGACGTTTAGACAACAAAAGGTGTTTGAATAGACCTTCGTCGAAATTTATTATGCCTATCAATTCTCTCGTTCTTTGCAATATGCCCGTCGAAGAACCGTGCTGCAAGTCTATGTTACTGAAGAGTTGATCTAACCTTTGTCGATCGGTTAGGTCTCTTTGTTTAAGGATGGAACGCTTTAAGGTTTCGAACGGTTCAGAAACATCACTAGTAAACATACTAGGTGTTACATACCTGTTGAATTACCGCGACAGTGCCTTGACTACTGCGAGGAATTGTTCACGTGTGTCGTTCACGATGTTCTCATGGAAGTCGGCTTCTGCTTAGCAGAACCAGGCTTCGATATTTTCGGGCCAGAATGGTATGAGTTGGAGCGAGGGTGGGGACATGGTCTTAAGCTTAAATACCTTAGGAGTCTGTTTGGTCATAGGGGAATATTAAATACGAGAATACGAGGGAAAAATATATATATATCCTGAGACACGGGGAAAAATATCAAAACGTATAAGAATTAATAAATTAAGGCAATAATATATAAAAATCCCAAAAAGGAACAGACTCACAGTTGCAATTAGGTGTACCAGATCACGTCGGTCTCACCAATTATGATGATACAGATATTCAGTGTTTGACAACGCTTTTGCCAGCAGCACCTTTTAATATAAATTGTACTCACCGAGAGAAATCAAAAGACAGAGTCGAGGAGATCGGAAGAGTGTATTTGGCGATTACCAATATATCGGAATTCTCTGATCTAATCTGGCTAGCGATTGCGGTAGATGTTGAGCACAGCGTTACCACACGTGATCTGGTGCGGATTCATGACCGAGCGCCTTCAGCTAGATGTGTCCACCAAAACATATGGTCAGCATCCAATGTCGAAAACTTACAGAGCTATTTATTTTGGGGATTTATTCACTGCTACATTCCCTTCTCAATGCTTTTCTGGCCTCAGAACTATGTAGGATTATCAAATGATCAATATTGGTGCATCATGGAGACCATAAGAAATTATGGTTTGGAAAATTGTTTCAAAGGGAAGGACTTTAAGCATTATAGAACTCAAGCTGAGGTCCTTACTAACATTAAAGCTCTAGGCTTCTCAGAATAAAACTTGATAATCGACTAAATGATGTATAAACCCATGGAGGTCAAACGAATAGTTCGACAGACACTATTGGGGAGCGCTATACAGTTAACACTGAGCCAAGTGTTGCGGATGTTATTGGAACGTCTGTAAGACAAATCGTCAGGCTGCACTTACATACACCTCATCGTGTTGGGAGAAAATCCTGAAGCGTTTCCCCACTTAACATTTTGCATTTTACTACACTTTATAGCGCTTAAACCGTTACTGAAGTAGCGAGAAGTCGGTAATCCACTCGAAAATTTTAAACAGTAATATGGAATGTAAGCTGTTTTATGTCTGCAACGTTGTTTCCGTTACCTCAAACAGTGATATAGTTGAGTGGACAATCCAGCCAGGTAGCTAATCAACCTCCATAAAGCATGATACCGCCTCAGGAAAGGTATTTTTTGTATCTCAAATGATATGCCCTCGTGAGACAGTCGATAATAGTGCTAAGATTACAAACTGATTCAGCATGAATTATTTATGGGACTTTATCACAGAGTTATAAACTGTTCCATGCTCTGTTCTATTCGTGAAAATCCGGTTATTTGGATTCACAGAGGTTCCTTTTTCTTGCCTGTGGAACTGTCTGTAGGGTAGAAATGTGTAAAACCAAACTGAAAGGTATGTGTGTCTGGGTTTTGTTCATGCTTTATACTACGCTTTCCAGTCTTCAATATTCACTAATGATCTTCAAGCGAACATCGACCCTCTAGCATTCCTTGCATGAACAATGTTAAACTATATAGATCAGTAATTTGTAAGATCGATTCACGACAGAACTAAAACGACTACACAAGCGAACAAAAACGAATGATTTAACATGTAATCTCCAAAGAGTTTAAAGGTGTTATTCTGTACAACAGGAAGGGCTCAGGTCGACAGCCTCATATGTGGTGACCGCCTGTTCAGAAACTCTACGGAGCATGGTCTACTTTCGTCTCCAAAAGAGAACCTGGATATTAGCGGCAGCTGTCGAGGAGGTTCAATCAAAGCTTGGACTGTGGTTCATTTTGTAAGAAAGTCATCAGATTTAATGATCCATTTGGACTTTCTGAACCCTTTTGAAGACCAATATCCACATATATCTACAAACTCACAACATTGTTGCAGTCGCAGTCCACAAAGAAAATAGGAATTACTTAGAATAAGCATGAAGACAAGTCAAAGGTTATGTCGTAGGATCAACGGACAGACTCTCTGAAGATTGATTTCTCCAACTGCGATTATTCTTCCTAGTTTTCAGCAACGTGCGGGACTCACATCACCATTTGTCAACTCGTTTATCTATTCTTTATTGTGTGCGTAAACACTCAAATTCATTCTGATTATTACCTTCTCTTCGACGCTCTTTATTCGACTTTTATAGTTTGGAACAAACCATTTTCTTCCCCGGTAGCGTAATCGCTGCTGGTCTCAGCAGCTCCACTGCCATAAGATAAACGCACTAGTAAATGAGAAAATAATAAACATTGATCAACTATCAAATCTACTAGTATTAGCACAACTGAGTAGCTAGACAACCCGCACTGAACAGAATCGTGGGCTTTGAACCCCACGGCAACTTTACGATACGGGGGAAAAGACATTGTGTGTTAAATGCAAGCTTGTTGAAAATATAGTGGATACTGAAAACAAGTTTAAAGATGGCCAGTTTGTCGAGAAATGTTTATCTTAGTCAGGTAGTTGTTGCGAGGGATCTGATCCTGATGTCTGTCAGAGTGTTTCCACCTTGAATATATCTTGTAAAACTAATCAGGTCAAGATCAAATGAGAAGACTTGAAGACTTAATTAATTATTTATTGGTCCAGATCACTTTCCTTTAGTGAAGTAGTGATGACTCGAAAGTCTAAGCCCTTCAATATTTTAGTTAGTAGATCCTTTTAATGGCTTCTAAAGACATGTAACTTTAGCTTAATATCAATATGTTGGAACACAAGAAAATTGGTTGTCAGTGAAATATTGGAAATATTTTATTTTAGGCGCAAGTTTCAATAATTATAAGGCGTTATCACCCTTACGTTCTAGATTTCGATGGATCCAGGTGTTTCCCAGTTAGCGATTGAATGCCAACATATAAGTAATGTGACGAAAGAACTCGAGTTTCTCTCACTATTGTTCACACACGCTACATCTTACAATAGTATGGAATTCAATAATTTAAATAGCAATGTGCCTGAAACAAGCGGCATGAAAACATTCTTTAAGATTTTAAGTCGTATATGCAGGGATTGTGGAGGCATTTGGACAGTAAACGAAGATTTGGACTGGTAAGCTGTTATAATTTTTTGCTCCTTTCAAAGATTTACTCACGACCACTTTTCGTCGATAAATTCATATTGTTGATCACTCTCTTACCAAGTAGAAGCTTTTGTATAAACCTTCTGCTCTGTAGTTATTCTTTCGAGTTAAACGCTTTTTCCTTCTTGAATCTATCTGCAGATTGAAGCCACATCATTTTTTCAGCTTTCAATGTAATATATATATATATATATATATATATATATATATATATATATATATATATACTATTTGGCGAATATTCGGCTAAAACTTTCTCTTAGCGAAAAATTCTCTTCACTGAGCATATGCGTAAGTATTTTAGTCTCTTAATTACTTCAGTCTTCGAAGGTGATTTTCGTAAAAATATTTTAGTGCATGAACTTATCAAACGAAATCAAAATTTGGCTGAACATTTCACACTGTCTAGAGGACGAAACTATTTTGAGGACTGTATCCAGATCAACCTTAAAGTAACAAAATATCCACCTTTTCGGGGATAAATAAAAAGATGTTTATGCATATCTAGTCCACAACTCGAATTTTATGACTTCATAAAACATTTTTTGTTACCAGCCTCATAACATATGCTATTCCCTGAGGTTCTTTAATTATACACCAAATTAAAATGATTTTATTCGCTTTCATCACATATTACAGTCTCACCAATCTGGAAGAAATTTCTAAGTTCATCTCTGCGGCACAGTGCATTACACTGGCTTTAAAAAAGCAGTATAGGCCGATACTGTTAAAAAACGTTTTAAAAATTCCACAAATTGACCTGTATTGAGCACCGTTAAAAATCTCAGTATTGGTTTTGAGCCACGAACAATCCTTAGGTGTAGTGTATACCTTTTATTCTTCACCTGACATTTAGTTGAGATGAAACCTACTTACCTGCCGCTGTTTTAACAAGAGTTGAACTGTGTTTTTAGTGCTCTTGACTTTCATCAGTTAGTTATTTTGGGAGCGGATGTCGAATTCCTTGTTTTAATGACTTAAAGAAAAATGTCATATAAAATATGAATAGCCTCATTAAATGATATAGGATCATACAGTTTTGTGTTTTAGTATTTTTAACACTTTGTAAATTTGTTGACGACTATTTCACTTAGACTGAATTATTGAAAAGTTGAAACAGAAGATACAAATGTCCTACAATAATCGTATACTGAAATATTTCGTGTGCTAAGCAATGCCTACAACAATAATGTACAAATGCATAAGTCGTCTGATTTTTGACCTAGATGTTGGAATAAAAGTTGCGAAATCCCTAATAATACTTCTATATGAGTCCTTCTCACTTCTGTAAAATTCTATTTTGCACTATTTTGTGAGCGCCCGTAATAACATTGAGCTGTTTGAGAAACTGATTATTAAGACTGCTTTTAAACTATTGAATAAACAGAAACCAAGTTTTACGTTATTGTATTCTATATATCTTAATTTTTGAATGTATACCTGGTGAAATAAAAGAAACGAACGTACCCATAAGTTTATACTAAAGGTGCGATGTTATATCAAATGATGCACTCATCTAATAAAAGAAGAAACAAATGACAACGTTTGGTTAAGATGAAAGTTTTTGTTTGTAACATAAAAGTTAGACCCTATGCTTATCAGTGAGACAAATACTGTACTGAATATTTATCCTAGGAAATATCTTTTTAAACATCTATGTACGGATTTCTCTAAATTTGCTAGTGTTGACCTAAAATTAGTATACAGATTTATCAGTAGTGGTAAGAGATGCACATCAAAATGGCTAAAAGTACTTACAGCGGACTATTTTGAGTACTGACTTAGTGTCCCGGATAGTATGCAACATTGAAAAGGGTGTTTCAGACATTTGTCTTTACAGATTCACCAGAAAGATGGTTTTACCTCATTGTACTGAAAGTTGTGATTAAATATCATTAGGAAAATACAATTTATTTATTTAATATCTTATATGCAGAAGAACATTGTAGTATATGACTAAAAGGATGTCCTACCGTGTTAGTTTCTCAAAGTCGACAGAATCTCTTATTTATTTAGTAGACGACATAAACAACAGCTTACAACATTTTACTGAAATTTGTTAATAGTGATGATCAAATTACTGCTCATGTATAGTGGAACCACAAAGTAAGTAGTGTTAAGTTTAGACTTGAGTTAATAATTCGGAATGACAAATTGATCAATTAGAATATGTAGCTTAGCCGACTAAGGACATGAGCAGGACATTGCTCATAAGGGATAAAATGTGTTTATCGAAGTTGATGTATGAAGTGCAGGCCTCTTCATTGATGTTTGCAAAGTAAGACATAATAAATGGCATAGTGTGAAATCTGGTTAATTACATAGACCTGTTTCTTTGTCCTTCATTTCCCTCCCAAGTTTAATATTTGTCCCAATCTCTGAATAAACTGACTAGGAACGTTTCGGCATCGTTCCCCAATGTCCCCATGTTCTTTTTATAAAGTATCGCAGTTTGGTCAGATACACATGTGTTTCCTGTTTTACGTTATTTAAAACTGGTTATGATGTTCCAAACGTTCTTTCACATATCACATTTTCTTATAAACCGTCATATTTTTACCTACAAATCATCAAATAATACTTCAAAAGGGCTTGGCACAACTGGTGTGTTTCTTGTTGTTTTAAAGTTTTATCATCATAAAAGAGGAACGATAGTTGCATGTATTATCCTCGGAAATCTAAATAAGCATTCGGAAAAATTTAAAAGACATTTACTGAAGTGATGAATGATCATAAAGTACGCTCTGAATTTAGCCTAATACTAATTTTTTCTCCTGACTGTACATTCATCATAAAAACAACAAGATATTTCCCAGTCTAACTGCCTAATATTAACAATAAAAGTTATTATAAGTCTGACTTTAAATCATTAAAAATTAATATTTGAACGAGACTTCGGAATGTTTGCTTTTTAGTGGATTTAGTTTGTCATAAATTATATAAAGAAGACAAACGATACATTTTATTCCAACTTTTAATTGTTTTTCGCGGTTTTCAGTAAAGAAAGCAGTAGCAAACTGTATCCAGCTGTCTTGTGTATCTGAAATCCCGTTTTGCTTGATCCTGTTTAGTTATCTAGTAACTGCGTAAAGAAAATCACATTTACCTTTCTCATTGTTGCAATACTAATGGATTTGCTGCACTTCATCCGATCAGCGAATAATTTTCAAGGGATGTTATTAAGTCGTAAAATATTCAAGCAGTAAACTTGAAAAATTCATTTCTTATTGAATGAGCAAAATGTAAATAAAAAGGTGATAGATTACTTGTCAGATGCTAATAATTTGTAGTAAAAAACCATTTTGTTCATTTTATAGCTTAAATCACTTGCTTTTGTTAGTTTTTATCACTTTCTGAGCTTTTATTAATAATACGTTTTTGTTTCGCACTGTGATTTCGTATTCAGAAAATATCAGTGAAATTTTCAATTGTACTCAAAGTACATGGATTTATACCCAAAAATAAAATTCAGCAAAGAGATTTACCCTTCAGTCCAACAGCTAAAATTTTATTTTCAGCAAAATTATTTATTTAAGCTGCACATTCGTCTATAGAAGGACAGAAACGATTTTGTTGATACAGTTGTTAGAAATCGTATTGAACACGTGAACTTGAAATCAATGAAAAGTTTAAAACCGGTGGAGATCCATACTTATTTTTCAAAATCACCAGGAAAATCTATATTCAAGTACTTTGGTATAACAGTATCAACTATCCAACTACAAGCATTATCGCTTCGTTTTAAATTTTTTAGTACGTCAGCTAACATTAATGAATTCCATGCTAAGATCCAGTTTGAAAGCTTCATTTGTCAGACAAGTGACCTTATCCCTGTATCTAATAAAGATTATGAGCTTTTCGAACAACTTATTGACTGCTGTAATCAATATGTAAACGAAATATTCACAACTAGACGATAGCTCATAAAATAACATAAATTTCAGTTATTTTATCTTCTAATAAATCAGAATTTAGTACTGTGTCACCCAGATAAGAGTGCAGGAACTGTCCTTGCGAATCTTCATAACTATATCATCAAACTATCCTCGATGTTATCTGATGCTGTTACATTCCCTAAAGAAGCCATTTGAAAAGATGCAACTAAGGAAATTGAACAGATGCTAACTAAAATCCTAAGGAAGATGAAATAATAGTTTATTATCAGTTGTGACCTCCACAAATATCTAAGATTATCGAATTCCTGTATATCGAGACTACCAAACGTTCATTGGAAGAATGTCGTCCTACTTCTTTTAATTGACATGAATAACTCTCCGTATCATTTGGTTACTAAATGGTTAGCTAAAATTTTACAACCCTTCAGAAATCAAACCTACAAATACAACTCTCTTGATTCATTTGATTTTGTTGACTCAATTAAAAATATCGACATAAATGATAAAAAAAGTTTTATTAGATGTCACTTCTGCCTTTATAAATGTTCCATTCATAGAAGCTATGTTTTTTATGTGACTATATCGAACATAACAGTTTTGATATTTGTATCCCAAAACTTCATCTAAAAGAGCTACTTCTACGATGTACTCTCAACGTGCGATTCAGATTTAATAATGATTTTTGTAGACAAACTGATGAAGTTGCAATGCGTTCACCACTAAATCCTCTCTTGGCTGATTGTTTCATGGCCAATCTGGAAAATACATCACTTCGACCAATACTTAGATTTCATTTATATAAGCGATATATGGATGATACTTTCATTATTTGCGAAGTAGATATGAACAATTGTCATCACTTAATTCTATTCACATTGGAAGAAGAGGCGAACGAGGAATTTCATTTTCTTGATTTCTTACCGAAATGATCAGACGGTTCTTTACAGATCTATATATAAAAAACCTACCTAGAATGGTCAGTACACGAGTTTCTACAGCCGGATCCCATCGAGTGGAGAAAGTGAATTAATTCACTCTTCGAGATTTGTCGATAGGAACTTAACGCCAAGTCAACATCCTGAAAAAGCATCAGCAGTTTAAAAGAAAACTATTTTTACGAATATCGAATTCAAAGGAGATACGGCTGCTGAATTCTTCAATAAATGGATTTCAAAATTCTTGAATAAAACATTCTATTCAACTGAGTTCCGTGTTTTCTTCTGAAGCCGGACTGCCATTCCGCTTTGAGTCACATCGATGTGCATCTACGGCTGATCAGGTTACATTGGCCGCGCATAACGATCACTTCCCAAATGCATCCCAGTACATTACTCGGTGTGTCGTTTAGAAGCAGAATTCAAAAGATACATCAGTTCAATACAGGAGCACCTAATCAACTCTGGAATAGTGTACACAATCAAAGGAACTGAGTTGAAGGGAGGTTGAATCACATACCTATGCACTGCTGAGGCATTGACAATCCACCAACTCAAGCCCCAACCCTGCGTGTAAAAACGATACGTCCAACCTCTCATCTTTCTTCGACCTTAATTTCCTTCTGTAGTATGTTTTGGTGTTCTTTTAGTTTTTTGATTAGTGTTTTGTAATTTTAAACCGTAATCAGTTATTATAATCCTTCCAAATCGTTTATAATCATCAATTGGTTATTATTATGACCTTTATGTTTTTCGTTTCCCTTCGTATCTGTCAAGTGGGCAATTATCTTTCGTTATTCTGACCCATACATTATTTTCATCCTTATATTCTTTCTTGTTTAGCTTCTTGATTATTTCACAACCTCAGTTGATATTTAAAGTTTCGAATCTCTTTGTGATGCAACCTGTTCTATTTTTTTATAAACATATATTTACTACACAACTATAAATACAAATGTACAGCTTAAATAAGTGATTTCATCGGAAAGAAAAATTTCTTTGTTGAATTTTCTTTACTTTTATCCAATGACACAATGTGTTATTTTAATGATCTGAGGATTTATCCTTCTTGTTTCTATTCTGGAAGCTGCTAAGTTGCTACTCTACTGTCTTAATGATAATATGGGATTTATTATTATTATTATTATTATCATTATTATTACTATTATTATATGTAGTAACCAATAACAAAAGAACGAGAGTACAGTTCATGTTGTTTGATAAAGATAACCGAAGGTCCCGGGTTAAAATCCGCGAGCGGGATCGTGGATGCGCACTGTTGAAGAGTATCATAATAAGAAAAAACAACCGTCCTGTGTTTCCAGGTTTTCAGTTGTGGTCTGATATCGATCGATTCATGATCTCAATCAAAACACAAATAATAGCTATCAATCTTGGAACATTATTCAGGCACTTAATGAAAACTGGAAATAAGTTACTTAACAGAATAAAACGAACAAAAAAGAAATTTAGTCGGTATGAGTGTGGAAAAAAGCTAACCACCTTAAAGAAAAAGCCTAGTAAAGTGAAGGAAGGATAAATTACAAGGCTGAGAATTAAGACGAGGAAAAAGGGTTTGGTAAGCCTATTTTGAGAGTAAAAGTTTTGGATAATAAAAAAAACCCAGGGGGACACTATATTTTACAATTATTCAACTACCTTATGGGCTACTTGGAATGCTAAGTGAGTCGCCATAGAATAACCAGTATTGATCAGATGTTCCTTTAGGAGACTTCTAGTTCTCTCGCTATAACCTTTTTGAAAGTATAAAGGATATTTCTCTTGAACAAGCTTAGATAGATATATTTCTTATGATAATATAAAATATTTTATTTGTTGAACTACATGAGTTTTCGCAAACCAATTTTCGTTACACTTATTAGTGCACCAACACCTGTTCACGATCAGGGTGATTGAAGCAGGTGAAATTTACAGTAATAAAATGTAAATATGACATTGATATCCTTAAAATGACTAACCAAGACTCTGAACCCATAACCAGTAACAGTTTTTGATACCTTTTATGTATTTGTATTCAGCTGAAAGGGCCTTCTGTTCCCAATAGTTTGAGTTCATATATATATATATATATATATATATATATATATATATATATATATATATATATATAAATCCTATTTACATAACTTAGTAGGATATTTTGTAATCTATAGAAAGCTATATTAATGTATTGAACTTCCATTTTAGCATTCAGTTGAACAACTCTCGAATATTTGTTTGACCGTTTGAGCCATCATTATTCAATGAATGGAAATATTTGGACTGTGCTACTTTGAATACACTATCCACTATCCATGAGAGGGAAAACACAGGAGTGAACTAGGGAAATCTAAGTATTTAATTGGTTTTAATTCCTAACTAAATTATAAAGCTAGAAGTGGAGAAACTTTTTATGGCACTTGCATTCTAAAAAAGTACAAACTGTTGTCACATATACCCTATATATTCGGTTGATGTTAAAAATTAGTTTAGCTAAGGATTGTCCATTTAAAGGCTGCTTTATATTAGTCATGAAGTGCAACAAGCTTTAATGAAAGAATTTTTACTGAATAATCCGAGTGATTTCTTATTATTTCTTATATTTTTCTAAAGAAAATTTAGTTTCATTAGTGTCTTTATAGTCTCAATGGGATTATTGTTCACATGAACACAATAATTTAATATATTTTGATTAGGTTGGTATTCTACTTATTTGCTCGTTGCTATGGGTGGAGCGACATTGATTTAAATGATGTGCGATCCCAGATGCTGGCACCATCAACGGGACATAGGTATAGAAACGTGTCAAAAGATGAAGAGCTGAGAATGAAAGATAAAGTCATCCAAATCACCACGGAGCTAATTTATTTGTAAGTTTTATTTTGAAAATGAACTTTAAATCTCATTAAAACAACACGAACATATTGCTTTTGAAATGACAAGTAGAGTCAAAATTGAGTGTTTTATATATTACTTCCCGAACGCGGTTTACTCAGTGTATTTGCTGTGTTGCACTATTTATGATTAGCATTGTTGCACAAAAAGCTATGTATCTAAGTAAACTGAAGTGAGGTTGTAAATTGGATTTAGTTTAGAAATAAACCACTGGAGTTACATCTTAGTAAACTGAAGTGTTTTGTTCACAGTATCATAATGACGCACTTTGGACTCCCTACATATTTTAGTGACATCACATAAGTACAGTTAGATGATGTCGGAATTTCATAAGAGTGTTATATCCGCTATTCGCTTGGGATTTTTAATGCTAGTCTTGGGCCAAAATGCTTGCTAGCAAATGAATTGGAAGAGTGACATAAATCACGTCTAAATAGTTCTCACTGATAGTTTTCTCTCATAAGCGCTTGTTTAGTTTATACAACATACACTTAATTGTTGTTTAAAGCGTTAAAAATATTTGGGAAAATTCTATATTATAGAACTTCATCTTATCAATTTTTGATTAGTTATGTAGTAAGCTTGTTGTTTGGTTGAATGTTTTCATAATCATTTTGTCACATTGTAATGTTGCAACAGCGTAACTCAATCCCGAGCTAAAGTTAGTGAGAATAGCATTTGATGTTTTGATATTTAAAATTCACAGAAAGAAACGACTAACTGTTTGTTCTGAAGTTTACAAAGAGACATTAACATCCAATAATATTTAGTTGTTTTTGCTGCCATTTATTTGATAAATTGTGCCATAGACGTTCAAATTTAGTAAGGATTATATAATACTAGACTACACGAATTGTTAACAAGATGTGACATGTTCTAAAAGTATAGCATAACTTCAATCAGTAACGTATTCCATATATACTGTTGATGATTTAGACATGGAGTGCAATGTTTCAACCACTTCAACTAATACAGTATACAAATATTCATTCTGTACTGTATTTACTGAGTCTTACGGAGGCTTCGATTACATTGCTGCATGAAGTTTATTATATGGTTTATTGATTGACCTCATTATCTATATTCTTGAAATTGTTTCGTGAAAAAAAGAAAACGAGTCTGATCTCATAACTTCATACAACCAGCTCCCTTTGTAAAATTAAACGGAACAAGTGCAGCATGATTTGCAAAATAAAACGAATTCATTTTACTTTACAGTTTCTCATCAGCTGCTTACAGACTAAAATTACAGTTAGTAATATATTTATTAAAAAAATGCTTCACATACTTTACTTTGTAAAGTCTAGTTAAATGTTCGAAACGTAACCGAAATCATACTAGTAAGAAGAGGAATAGGTTACAAAATATATGAATAAGCATAGTTAAGATCAATGTGTATTTATATTTTGGAATGGGTGTTATAGTTACTAGCAACCATAACCAAGACAAAAGAGATTATGTTAATTAATAATTCATCGCGTAACCTCCCACAATGATGAGAAATAAGATCAAGTACGTATGAACAATAAGATTATTTAAGAGATAAATGTTAGAAGACAAAATAAGAGGGGATTGAAAAAAGTTAATAAAGGTTATTTGTCAAATACTTATTCACTATATCACATAAAAGATAGTCACAATTTGCTTCAGTATATATAGGTCAGATCAAAAAAGGTAGTTAGCAACTGCTTCTGCAAAACAAAGTAAAACCAGTATTGGTTGTCTGCTAATTATTTTTAGTTCAATACTTATATTCATTCTAACTTTACTATCCAAAAGATGCTTGGGAATTGCGCCTGGGAAGACTACTCCCTTTCAGACATATATCTTTAGAAACGTATTCAGAATATCTGGTAGAAACCCTTCTATTTGTCTTCCCTATATACACGCTGTCGCATGTGTATGTAAATTTCTGAATGCGATTAGAGGTGACGTCCAAAGAGTATTGACCTATCTTTCAACTGTATGACGAACGCTTGGAGTCGTATAGGGAGATAATTTGAACATTAGGAAAGCTTCTTTTCGATGCCACCTAGATTCTCCTATCGATTTCACCTGGAATCTAAACTCTCTCGAACGGAAGACTAATGAGAATAACTTTATAAAAAGATCTATTTTTCCCAAATTTAGCAATAATTTTTCCCATTATTCACTTTTTGAGGTTCTGTTGTAGAATGACCAATTTCTCACTTATCGTCTAAACGCAACATTCTTATTCTATTAGAGAGTGTTTTGACTAGACATCTTTTGCAACAAGCAGAAAAAGATGCTGTTATAATTTAAATACTGTCCTTTCTACGTTTTTCTCTAATATACCCTATATAGGGATCATGTATTCACTCGAATCTTGTAAACGCTTTAAAATATCTGATGATTTCAGCCTTAATATGAGTAAAGTGAGTGAAAGTTTGTGATTCTACCAGAAGCAACAAAAGTTAACACTTTTTAAGTATCTCTAATTAACCTTCACTGGTTGATAGACATCGCTACGGAGATTTGACTTGGTAGTTTCAAATAAACTGGTCACTGGATATATTGTTACTAGTGAAAATAAGGAAATGTTTACAATCTCTGAATGAGTAAAAAATAAGATCTCCGAAGTTCCGTGAGTTAGTGTAAGGCACTTCTCTGCAGAATATAGAAAACTGATTTATTTATTCTCTGATGTATGTTCTGATAATGTCTATGAAGACAATGAAAGCTACAGCTCAGAGGAAATAATATTTTCAATCGATAAGAGACCGCCAACCATGGTAAACAAAAATCTAAAGGATCTAACTGAAAGCATACAAACTTGAAGTGATAGTTTTTCGGACATTGAAATTCGTTTCAACATAATAATTAGAGACAAGTTGCAATTTTGTTTGTTATAACACTGATTTCATTAAATTGTATACTTGTAATAATTTTGTGTTTTCCTCAAGTTTCAAAATTACGGAACTATTCACAAACAACAATAAATATATCTTTTAGGATAAGAAGTCTTCCCCTTTCTCTGGCTGGTTTAAAAATGCTCATCAGTTCTATGAATTTAGGTGAGTTTTTGTAGATTGATTTTTGGTTTTTGTCGTACAACTTTTCAAACATCCTCTTCGTGATTATAAAGCAGCCTGTAAGTAGATTGTTTATTTTGTGGCTGCTAAAGAGACTTTATTTTTTTTATCAAAAAGTTAGTGCTTCACGCTGATGACTAGCTAATGATCAGAATTTTATTTTATTTCGTAGTAAGATATACTTAACAGTATACTTTTAACTGAAAAGCTTTCAAAACTTTAGTCCGTTTTCGAAGAAAAATCAGAAGTTTCGGACTGAACTTGTGTTATTTTTAATTTGGTATTTACTTTCATAAATGCAAGTATAATATCGACATGAAACCTTTACCATCTGATGGGATGTAAATGAAAATGATATTTCGTTTTTCAAGTTGCTATCATTACAAGCACATCAACACCGATGTAAAACTACCTTCTTAACCAACTTGAGAAAAATCATCTATTGTTTAATAACCAATCAAAGCAGCTTCGATATTTTTCATAGTTCCTTACTGTAACTGCAAAACAGATATGTAGCATCTAGATGTTTATTATGTCGTTCTGGTATTATATGTGGCTGTGATTTCAAATGAATAAGTTCTAAGATATAAAAAATATCAACAAACAATATCTTAATTTACATTTTTGTTAAGAATGTTAATTCCATTAAATAATATGTAGTGTATTATGACTGTCTTGAGTCTCGCGCGCGATACCGATAGGTCCTGGGTTCGAATCCCGCGAGCGGGATTGTGGATGAGCACTGATGAGGAGTTTCATACTAGGATGAAACAGCCGTCTAATTCTTACAGATTCTCCATGGTGGTTTATTTTGAATTGACTTATGATTTAAATTATTAAATTAAAAATCTGTTTGGTATTATAAAGAAGAATAATTAACTAATCGGATTAGTTGAGTTACACTTTGCGGACAAGTGATCAACTGAAGCTGATCATGAATAAAGTGGGTAATGCTGGAGCAAAAAATTGATTTTCATCGATGAGGAAAGCTTCTATACAGATGTCCCGCTTCTAATTTTTTAAAGTCACGCTTAAGTTCAAAGTAGAGGATATGTAAATGTTGTGGTTACCTGGTCAGTATTTTGAATCGCTGAATATGAAGATGTATAGTCCAGTTATATCATTTACACTACTGAAATAGGGAATACGATTTTAAGCCACAATGAAATCAGTCAATGAGTTTGTGATTTATCAATAACTTGTGCGACTTCGGTATGTGACACACATGTCAAGGTTCTACTAGAATCAGTGAATATTTCATACCTGGAATAAAATCACTGTGCGAAGAATCTTAGAGTTACCAAAACACGGTATGCAATCGGTTTACTAATAATTAACTCATATGTCTCTTTAAGAAAATGTGAGTTATTTGATGTAATAATAACCACAGCAGAAACTACATTTTTTGGGAGCATTGGGTCAGCAGAAGAAACGATCTCACGTTTCATCCCAATAAACGTGCTAAAATAAGCATATGATTTTTGGAAATGCATCTATATCATATTTTCTTTTGACTTAATGTTTTAGTATTGATTGATGTTTTTATAACTGTTATTTCTCTTGACACTCAAATCAGCAGAATCGAAACAATTTTTTAACAATGACTTTCAACACTAGAATTGTCATTATCCCTAATCATTATTATTAATTTAATACCCATTGTATAACAGCTCGTGGAATGCATCATACTCGAAAGCAAATAGCGTTACATGCTATCGATTGGCTGACGTTTGGATTACAAACGGATGGTGGAGGTGTGAAGGCAACTACAAGTCCTAGATTCACTCAGAAAATTTCTACAACACAGCCATTTCTACCAGAAGATTCAACTCCAGAAAGCATGTTTATGACGGTAAAAGTAGGTATTAAATGACAAACTGAATAAAAAAGTAGGACACCATACGTATTGATTGAAAACAAATTCATGTGGTCATCGTATTTTGTGAACATTTTCAGCGTTGTTCTCCACTGAATTCCCTGACTTCTGAATCGTTTTTCATTCTAGTTAATCTTTGTCACACTAACTAACCTTGGGTATATTTACTTTACTTAGAAAAACTAATGACCAATTTTTATCTATCTCCAATGTTTAGTGGATGATTGTAATGCTAAGTGCATAGTCAAGATTATTTATCATTAATAAAATTAAGTCCTTTGTCTAGTTTAAGTTATTATTCAGGACAATTTACAAACAGTTAGTTTTAAAATATAGTGGACCACAGCCTTGACATATTCTAAAAGAATAAGAAATCAGAGGGCTGAGTATTTCGTTTAGTTCGGTTAACTATTAAAATTCAGTAGCTGTAATCTACTGATGATCATAATTTCAACTGACAGGTAAGAAATTTGTGTGAATTTGCCCATTAATACTATTTCTGAAATAGCAAGATGTCTGAAGGGAATAGCAATGGGATATCAATTTACTCTAAGACCAATCATGTGTAGAAATGATTTTGCTGTGCACATTAAGATGTTTTTCTTGTTATTTTGTTAAGGTTCAAACTATGAATCTATCACACATTCCAGATGGCAATGTGTTGTACTACACGTGGTTACATGGGTTAGTAGATTTTCTCAAGTAGCTACATTAGTACTCTGGTGTTTTTATATTTAATAGTTTCAAATAATAAATAATCTCTATCAACAACATATTTGAATGCTCTCAAAAATTGCTATTTTCAATGACATATTCTGTATGACGTGATTCCGGGATAATATTCGTTCACACGAAATCCTCATTTGTGATTGGTTATCATAGACATCAGTTATGCCGAAAAGTTTACTGGTAATAAAGAAATGTTTGTTATCATGACTTTAATCACTAAAAATGTTGACATTTACTTATAAAACACTGTTCAGTAATTACAAAGTTATGAGTGGCATACAGTCAGGTTACACGAACCAACTATAATATATCAACTTTATTCGCATAGTGAGTGTTATGAGGTTATAACTAGAATGTTTGTATTCAATTAATCTATTTATTTTGTGTATTACAGCGTAGTCCGTTTACTAGTTTTCAGCGTTAATTCCGGAGAGTTTGTTCAATTTTTGTGCTACTATGAGCTACAAAACCGTTTCAGCTCAGATGATAATTCAGTTCTACTTACATAACTAAGTGAGCTGAATTGAGTTTCTGACTCCCAGTACCGGAAACAGATTTTGAAAGAAATCTAAAGACTATCAGAATTTTCTTTTGAAACGAGATTTGTTTGTATAACATTTAACGCTGTAAAGTAAAAAGTAAATCTTCAGATTTAAAGCCAATTAATAGTGTTACAGTTGAACAGTGGTAGCTATTACTTATTATAACAAAAACTACCACTTGTTAAATGTGTAATTGGTAAAAGGAATAGTTGACTAGATCATTTGTTTTACACAGCTTTTGTATATTTTGTGAATGTCTAACCGAACAAATTGTTATCTATTTCAGCTTGATTACTTAACTCTATTTAGGCTTCTGTAACTATAAGACAACTTGAGCTCGTGTAAAGTAATTACTAATGTTTATATATCCTATTTAATAAATGCTATACAGAATGTGAAAAGACAAGAAAACAGTTGGAAAAGACGCTGATAGATAAATATGATTTAATCCTAGTGCGTATATAATAGTTTGACGTCAGGATGGTGTTCCGACAAAAACGAAATGTATGACTACTTCTGTACTAACTAGAAATATTCGACTTTTCACTAACTTTGTTTTTATTGACTACTCTAATGGAATCCAGGATCTTATTTGGAATTGTTGTACCGATAATAATCGTAGTATCCGAATGGGGACTTTGGGACCATTATATATCCTGTTTGGACAACTTTCGACAAATACTATTATACGATTGATCAAGCTATCAGTTGAGGTAAATTCATGTATAACGAAAACATTTTCAATGTTTTACATTTTACAATATAACCATTCATGTCATACATAAATAAAACAATATCTTGAATTCTATGTAACTGACAGTATTTCAGGGAACATAAATGGGTGCTCATTGACAAAGATGCTGTCTGTTATTAGGAGGCTTCATGATTCGCAAGGTGTAACTGATATAATATTGTATTTTATTGTCACAAAGAATGTGCTATTCTATAATACGTTCCAACAAATTATTTCCAGAATAAAATTTACACCTCTAAATAAGTTTTATTCATCCATTAAGTTATTTCTTTAACTTTGGAGCTCTAGTGAGATGTCATAATCACCAAGGTTCAACCATGTTGGGGAACTAGACAGGTATCGCTAATTTCAATGGATAACGGTTGCGTAATATAGCGAACGAACTAATGCTAGAAAAGTTAAGCAAAACTACATGGCGTCCCGTACGATCCGCGAATAACCTGGTTCGCGCGATGCCCGAAGGTCCCAAGTTCCATCCTTGTGGGCCAGCTTGGAATGGATGTCCAGTGCCTCATGGTTTTTGGTAGTTCTGTAACAAAAGTTGACCAGTGACGTATAATACAAACTGAACAATCTCGAAAAATCCCCCGTACTCATTTTAACAGGATATTACTATTCATATAGTGATGGAAAGTTTTTATTACCCGAAATGAAAACCTTGTGGAGTTTTTAGGTATTCTTACCACTAGTTTGAAATTAAATCTTTTCACCAGTTTAAGGAAAACATTCATACAATGTAAATAAGATTGTTTTGTCAATATTAAACAATATCATGTCTTCAGCTTTCGTGTGGTCGATTATATCTATTTTAAAAACTTCTGTCCATTGCAGTGTAAATTTTTGTTTCATTATTGTTTAAACAGAGTTCAATTAATTAATTTAAAAAAACAAGATCAATTTACAAGGCTTTTTGTTTTTATTAATTTAAATGAATTACTTGGTTAGTTATTATTAAAAGATTATGACGTTTTGCTAAAGATTAATGAATAAATGATATCAACATTATATTGCAAGAATGAACCGAAAAGTTTAATATAACCCACAAGAAAGTTTTCTTACTTCGTTTGCCATCAAATATGATTGCTAACTTTTCTGTAAATTGTACAAATAGGATGATCAGACTAAGTTTCTGTCAAAGTTTATAAGAATCTAAAACCATAACCTTATTTTTCTTATGGATTAATGCCTATTTTGAGGAAATACTGTATGCTAGTCTATCTAATTCTATTATTATTGGTATCATCATCGTGATTACTAGTTCATGTTACCATGGTGAAATATTATGTATTGTGTTGGCAGGGTACATGTTTACATTTTAGCCTAAAATGAATAACAATAGATTTGCTGAGGCCTTCCAATGAATACCACGCAAAGATTGGAATTCATTTTGATAATGTTGAATATAATCATTCCAGTAAACCGAAACTATAATTTATTGACCTGTCCTAGTTTAATGACCATTAAGAAATATACCCGATTTTATTATCATAACCAAATGTATTATAGATTTCTGGACTTTAAGTGATTCCGTACATTTGTAGTAACAGTAGTATGGTGTCATCCAGTTCACTTGGTAAAAATGATTCTTTAAAACTTAATCCTTAACAATTGTACAGTGATTGATCGATTCAATATTCGTATTAAAGCAACTTAGAAATACATTAAAATAAATAGCTCAACTCTTAATTTCTATGTATTCTACGGTGTTGAAAGTCGAAGTCAGACGCAACGTAGAACCTAGTATTTATGTATATTAACCCAAGATCTGAAACCCCAAATGAAACTAATCTAATTAATGTGTGTTTATTACTGATTTATATGAATATTTGGCTGATATATGCTTTTGAAATTTATCATTTTTCTCCACCAATTGGCAAAAGGGCCGAAAAACAAAAACGTTAAGGCGTAAAAAAATAACCTGGCTGAGAGTTTGCAACCGTATGTAGAAAATAAATGATTTAACAGGGAATGATACTTTTGAAACTCATGCCGTGTTCACAAATTAATATACTATTAACTTCAACATTTGATAAGCTGTAGGTAACCCTTCCTTATCCAGTCCTTAGAACCAGGTTTCTCTGTCTGAAGATTTTTTGAAATATTTTAAAGAAAATTGTTTACGACTACCGACATTAGTTTATGAATGCACTCACAATGTCGTTGAAAATAAGGCGTAAAACTAACACCTTAACAGAGCACCGAATTCAACGAGAAAGTTGTTTTTCACTGAGGGAAAAGTGAAGGGCGTCTGACGTAGGGACTTATGGTTTGAAGAAACAGAAATTTATGAAAAATAAAATAACTAAGTAATAGGTTTTTGGAGATTTATATAAATATAGTTCAGCTCAATGTTATTTAAATTACTGTCAAAAACTACTGGTCACTACAGTTACTGTTTTGCAACACTTAGTAGCTTAAACTCTTACACTGTTCAACTATCAGTTTTAGTATGCTATTACAGTCGTAGTCTTGATCCCAGTAAAACTGGATCTCCATTAACAGCAGATATGTTCCTTTACATTACCCTCTGAAATTTACTAAGTGAATGGGTTTTTAAATCAAATGTAAATTGATTTCAATACTTTGTATACTTTTAGGTCTATTTTCAATAGAATGTTTTAAAATAGTTTTTATGTCAGAAGGTTTTCTTTTTATTTCAGGATAAAACTAATATTGTTTAGGTGGTGGATACTTTTAAATGGAATGACAGTTATAGTAATCATGCTAACCTTCCGAATTCTTTAGTACACTGCAGTCTGTATTAAAAATCGATGAATTGGGTACCTTTTGATTGTCATTTAGAACAGTTTCCTGTGACAAATAATGTTCATCGTGTCAGTATACTGACAAATATAGAGATTACAATATATTCGAATCTGTTGAATAAGATTTTTATCAAGATATACACATTATAACTGCTGAATTTAATGACATTTTCTCAAAATTTTCGAGATGTTATCTAAATTGTTTGCTGCGTATTCAGTTTTGATAGTGATTATTCATCATTCTTTGTGAGTAGTGTGAGTATGATCGGTAAAGCAAGACTTATTTATCTGTGATTAATGTTTTAAGTAAGCAACTGTACATAATGTAGGCAGGAATACATTTTTATTTTTATCACTTTATCCAATTATGTTTCTTTTCTTATGTCTAAACGCAAATGAAGATCTATTTCATTTATATTATTCACAAACAAATTAGCTTACTTACTTTCTTGTTTTCATGCTACGTTGATTAGATTATCTGGTTTTGATAATCTGTAAACTGATTTTCACAGTGCTTTAGTAGATTACTCAGTATATACGTATATAGATAGATAAATAAAGATTTATTACTATAATATGTGTATCGCTTATCATACTATTAGTACTCGTTGGTTAGTGAGTTTAGCCTTGAAACGGTTACAATATACTTTCTGTTTTGTTATAGGTCAGTACTTTTGGCTGACGCTTATATATATATATATATATATATATATATATATATATATATATATATATATATATATATATATATATATATATATATATATATATATATGCATGTATATATATTCTAATAGTTTCTTAAAAAATCAATCTCTTCTCTCGGTCTCATATCTTCTGTTCCTGAAATGCTTGAAAATCAAGCTGCAAGAAAGATAATAACAATTAAAGTAACCCAGATTATTCTAAACATATGAGAATACTTCAAATAGGTCTTATTCATTTTAGGTAGTGATAATACTATTTGTATGCATAAATACAAAACCAATATTAATTCAGTAAACCAAGGCCTGCCATTTTCTTTTTTCTTCAACTAGCATTGCTTTATTTCTAACCAATATAAATAAATCTGCCTGAATTAGGGTCATTCAAATGACAATCACTGTAATTTTAGTTACGATTATAATATTTAGTAGTGTTTATAATATGTGAATTACAGTAAATCCAAAGGAATGTATTATATATATATATATATATATATATATATATATATATACTAAAAGACGTGTGTAAGTGATGCATTGTATTCAAGTGCTTAGGAACAGTTGATGAAAAGAATGTTCTCAAATTATGATTAGGCAGCGGGGCATAACTTCAGCCGTGTTGAGATTTATTCCATTTGTTAGCTAAATTTGACCGACGCTTATGTTAATAATATCAACACTCTAAATTATTTTTAGTTTAGTAACGACTACATTTGTATAATTAATTCAAACTTCGATGACGAAATTCTCCTAAACTACAAATAAATTTCTGAGGGTGACATTTCAAACATGAACATACTATAATGCGATGAGCACTCTCTGTCTAGACGTGTGATCGCATAAATCTTTCATATTGTTTACTTCACTGACCATTTGTAAATAATATCTAATAGATTTCAGTCAAGAAAGAAGACAACAAGCCTTACGTTTTTGGCCTGCAATCAGTCTGTCTTGACCACATATTCAAAATACAAAGTTAATTGAATCATTTTCAGTAACGTATTTTCAATTTTACAGTCAGCACTATCTGGTATCATTTTTACGGGTATCCATCTGAGACAACCTCACAAAGTTTCAAATGTACACCTTTACATTTCTTTTTGTTGTTTCTGTTAATATTACCTCCAGGAAAACAGCATTACGACAATTCTGTAAAGGTTTAAGTCCTATTTAAAAAAATATTATTTCATGCCCTGATACATTTTGTTCAGCTCAGTGGCTTATCTTAAATTTTTCTTTCATACCTGATATCGTTCATTTTTTGTTGATTAGCTTTTCATTGTCAATCGTTAGTTTGAATACTATGTATACAGTGTAAGAGAATTACGATAAACGAAACTATATTAGTTCACGCTTAATAGTAAACTGATTAAAGTTAAACTGTTTACAGCTTATATATATCGTTTATTCGAACAGCAAAACCATTGCGGTTAAAAACAAAGTAGGTAACGATCATAAAAAGGTTGAAGTGAAACATTTTAATCGTTTCCATAATTTCATTAAAATTTATTGACTAATTCATAATTTTATTCACAATTTCAGATATTGGAGAAACCAGAAGTCTGTGCTAGTGAAGTAACTGAAGGTGTCATAGATAGTAAGAAAATTTTCTCCATATAGTGGTACTAATGAAATCTACAATAACATTTCATCGTTTATTTATTGTTAACGCAATGTAACAGCCAGTTGCTAGTGTAAACGTCTCTATTGTAACTCAATAATTGAAAAAAATTATTTGATTTAAATAATTAACTTACGGCGTATTATTTTACATGAAGTACTATTGGTAGGAATACAAATACGTTTCCTGAGGGATGTACCAAATTCAGTTGTGTTGCTATTACTGCTTCAATTTAAGAGTTTTGAAGTGTTCACTGTAAACCTGTTACATAGGTAATATTTGAATACCTAACATGAAGTAAACATGTTATCGTAGCGAGTCATAATCCTTGAAAAAACAATTCAAGCCCATTGAACTCAATATATAATTTCCATCCCAAAATGCTTTGAAAGATAAATTAATACAGATTTTGTTGAGATTCCATAAAAACTATTAGATTGACGACATATCTTGGAACTAGATATCATAAACAAGAATATTGTTGATTGAGGTATTACTTATGATTTTTCAACATGCTGTCCTAAAGCCTTCTTCAGATCCACCATTTAGTAGGTAGTTTCAAATAATCTTTCAGTAGCTTGGTACTCATTATATTTTTGATATTTATTCCAACGTCGTATTTAGACCTTACATTAACACTTAACTACATTTATTTATTCCATTTTAGTTACTAACATTTATTTCTGCTCAGACATATTTTTTTCCTTGAGGTCTATTTTCCTTTATGTGGTACATGGGAAGTTATACAGAACTAATAGGTTTTTATAAAGATATTTCATTACTGTTTTCAGTACTTAATGTTTTGCTGAGAAGGTTGGTGCCCAGTGAGCAACTATGTAATTCAAGGACATCGTTATCTGGAAACACACTAATGTCAAAAACGAATCTTTCTGCCTATAAATTTTCAGCGGTAAGCAAACAAGTTAGAAACCATTTTGTTACCAAGCTTATAAGCCCTTAATAAATTCTATTAATGTAATATTTTTTAAGTGAATAAACTTTTGAGACAATTAGTCCCTTTGATAAATTGCGATAGCGTTATAGGAAAACGAAGATTATCGGAACTATATGATGTATTAGTGCATTACATTTTGGACAATCTGATTACATATATACTTGTTAAGGACATTTATGTATAAAAACAAAACATCAAAGAGACAAATGGAGAGTAAAAAGAGACACGCATAATAAAGAAAACAGTGTGAAAACAGTTTGAAACCTCATCACTGTGGATAATAAGCTAATATTATCAGGGTAGTTTTAAGGTAAAATCAATCTGTTTTCAAACATACAAAGGGTGTTTGAATTTTCGTATGGTTAAGGCTTAAATAAACCTTAGTATACGCCCTTCTACACTTTTGTACAACACCATAAAAACTGTGTTAACATCAATCCTATGACCTGTTTCAACTATGTGTATGGCAATAGATGATGGATGCTTATACCCTATTCTTATTGGGTCAGTTGATTTTATTTGTTTCTGCAACCATTTAGGTACATGTTCACGCAACCTAAATAGCAAACTTTTATTTTCGCTTGTTACATATATAGGAGTACGTTCAGAATCAGTTGTTTCCAAGACTGAGTAAGATGATTGCCAACTTGTTTCAGAGTAATCACTTCAATGTACGCAAAGCTGCAGTCAGAGTTTATCTAACCTGCCTCAGTCGATGTCCGAATGAAGTAGGTTTCAATCGTTATTTTTTTTTGAAAACTTTGCTTAGTTTACACTTTTTTGATTTGGTGAACAGAATCAATTGAATTGGTCCGATAAATCTATGAAATTTCAGCTAATCAAAGTTCACATCAGTCCAAAGCTTTGAATCATAATACATTTTAATCATTAAAAAATATTACTGAACATCTGAGCTCTATCAGAAGCATGTGTGTAGTTGGAGCTGTTCTGTACTACTCACCAAAAAAGAAATTTCTCCCTGAGGTACCTGAAAAACTTGTTCTTGCTTTGTTTAAGACTAGATTAGTAGTGATAGTTTTGTGTATCCAAGATTGTGATTCCTGAGTTCAATCGGGAACTGTTTACAGCCGGTTAATCATAAACTTTCTGTTAGCACTTTTTTGCCAACTCTACCTATCACCGGCAACACGAATCTGTGAAACAAGGTTCGGTGTGCTATTTTCAATGCCCAACTTGTTTCATTCTCAAGCGCACTAATGAATATAGTTATTACAGAAATTTGTTTTACTACAAGATTATTTTCTGTTTTATTCAGTGTTACGGCGATTTAAACTGAATTTTACAATTAATCAATTACTTCACTGTAAGCTTTAAGAACAAGCCTAAAGAATCAGCTTATAAGGAAAAGTAATCTAGTAGTTGCGTATTTTGGATGACTAACAAATGGTACCATCACATCAAGTATATCCATATTGAGACATTGGAAATGACTCCAGTCAACAATAGTCTTGGAATCAACAGTAGAAGTTGCATACCATCTACATCAAACGCCACTCGAAATGATAAGATATAATGCAATTAATAAATACCTAATCATATAATTGTTGATAATAATATTAATAATTTTAGTAACATCATTAATATTATTATCAGTGTTTGTTTGTGTATACACCAATAGACATTTAAAGAAGTTCTTCTTCAAACTGTAAATGATTTATGCATGAACGCGGATAAGCAATCTGAAAGCTACCAAGATAAATCAGTAAGCTTTTGTTTTCACTTTCTTTTAATGTACTATTTTTAAAGTTAGTAAAAAAGATTTTACATTAATTGGCGTACATAAAAATGGTCTTAATATTTTGTTAAATATTTCATAAATCAACTAATGTCTAACTTTTTAAATAAGTGACATGACCAATCGCTTGATATAGTAACATTTCTTTTCATTTATGAGTGTCTGTAATTAAGTGACAGACTACATTTTCAACCGTTTTTAAAACAGTAGCTTTCATTCAAAGGAATTAGTGTTTAATTTGACATCGCATCCATTCATAATAATCGTTCCTTTCTTTTCTTAAATACATCTCTTCTCCTTAATTTTTGTCAGTTAATTAAGAAAAAAATCAAATGCTTTAACGAGACCAAACAACAAAACAAAAGAAATACAGTTTTAGGCTTTATTTTTGCATTGTATATTTTACATTTTACCAGACTCAATATGTCACCATTCTTTATTTAAAGCCTTTAATAACTCAAAACTTTAGTTATCAGACAATTATATTGATTGCTTGCAGCCCTCGAATTTCGAAAGCTGGAAAAGTAACCCATATTTCAATGAAAGTCTCCTAACTCTTTGTCGATCTTTAATTAAGGTAAGTTTTCCCATATTATCAAAATTACCAATGTGGTTGAAAATTCTTTTCGTCAACATTCATAATAATTTATTATTTTTCAAATTAATTGTGTCTATTCTTACCCATAAGAATGTAAAATAAAACAAAAGTATCCAGGCACTTACTAAACAATATAATCATAATAATAATTTGTTGGTAACCAGTGAGAGCGTAAAATGTGTTCTGTATTTCTTATTTCTGAAGCCTAGACTAGAAATCAATCATCCTATTAGATATTCTTTCCAAAACGTCCAAATGTATACAGCTACGCAAATAGTATACAATTTATAGAGCGAAAATCAAGTAATGTTACTGATAAGTCTTGTCAATTTGAACGTTTTATTCGGTTCCTAAACTATTCTGGTAACCCGCAAGCTAGAACTACGCAGCGACCTGAACTTGACAGAAAAGGCGCAAAATAAGCGAAAAACACTTTACTCCAAAGGTTCAATTTTGTACAGAAAAACACGGGTATTTATAAATGTTAACATTTGTTAAATCAACATCGTATTTTGGCCAATCCGCTTAAAGACATTATGCTACTGACCAATAGTAGCACGCCACGTCGATATTTTAGAAAGCTCCATCATGCTCTGATTGGCTAACACTCTTCGGCCCCTTTAGAGCCTCTGGAGGCTCCGTTGCAGTTCTTGGAAAGCCTACTCAACAGTTACATAGAAATATTTTAAAGTTAGATGTTTTTACGTAAAGTCCCTTATTCAGCAACCATTCTTTTAACTAAAATATCAATTTAATTACAAAATTTTCATATGTTAATTTTAGAAAGCTGGTGAAACCAATCTGCCTTCGAATACTGGGGACTTACAGAACTGTTTAGTTAATTTTTATTTGGGTCATTCATCTCAATATGTCCGCAATAGTGCATGCAGTCTGTACCTGACATTGTGTAAGATATTTTAGAGGAATCTATCAGATGGTTCTTACAATCTATTATTTTAGAGACTTGTTGTATACCATATAAAATATAAATTTGTGTCTTTTCAAATACCCGTATCTCAATCTACACCAGGGAAATTTCATCATATGACTTTTGTTGACACCTTTTAATAATAAATACTTAACCCAGTGTGATGCCATTAAATGCCAGTAATAGTGATTCGCATATAATCCATAGGTAATAACAAATTTCTTCACGAACTATTGGAAATCGAAATCTCCAATACATATTTCAGTAATTACAGACTTGACGCAATATCATCGAGGGTTTTACAAATATGTTTTATTCAAAAAAGACGCGAGGTCGTTACTTTCAAAAAAATATTCCGTAAATTTCTGAAATTATTTAAAGATGTTTCAGAAGCTCTGATAGCGCGCAAATGTTGAAGTATGTTGCTAACCTAAAGTTTTTTTATCACCATTAAGCGGCGTTCGCTAAAGAACCATTGGAAACTAATTAGCAATAAACTGTTACTATTTGCTTTTAATCATATTGAGTTTTACAGTCATAACCGGCGACAGTAAATGATGGCTAAGATATATCACAAATTGATTGAGGCTGGAAATTCGACTCTTGTTTAATAAATTCAAGGCAACCTAAAGGTCCTGAGTTCAATCATTGGCGGAGTCTCTCACTGTTAAGTGTTTCCAGACCTGTAGGAATCAGTTGGATCTGTCATATCCTTTTCCCAGTTATTCAATTGCTAATCTTCATTTCATATATTTGATGATGACTGATACATGATTTGACAGTCTCGTCACATTACCTAAGATTCGATGTAACCACAAGTAATTATGCTAATAATTATGTCAAGATGTTGATTTTTTCCGCTTTACAAGTCATCAGTGCCTCAAAAAATCCCAATCGTATCCGTTACCTATTGAATAAAATATTGGAGAAGTGGCAAGTTAAGCAAGATGTTGTGTTATCACCTCTTTCAAAACTACTAATTCAAATAAACGAAACGGAAACTACTACACCGCGTGGTAAGTAGCATAAAAAGCAAATTTATTTCATAATTTTTATTCACAGATTCTTATGTTAGTCAAAATAATATCACCAACCAAAATAAACATCATTAAATATTTCTTCATTCGATATTTATTTTACTCATACGTTTATACGATAATCATTAGGAGCAAATAAAATATTTAATTATTCACTTAATAGTTGTCGATAATTCGACCTATCTGTAAATTTTCCAAGTATTTTAAATCTTTTCATCACGAATTAGTCAAACAGCTGGTACATATTGATATTATGTAGGCATTGTTCTATATGTTTGCTATTATAGTGACGATATAACATAACAAGTGTTTATGTCTAAATACAAGTTAATGTACGATTGTAAATTTTTTTCTACTTGTATCTAATAGCATTTCATATATCATATTCGAGATTCACTATAAATTAGTTGTTCTCATTGTATTTGTTCAAAGTGAATCAAAGAATCAGATAAAATAGTCATCTTTATTGTGCTTACAACGCGAAAATGTTATAATTATGTTGGAATATGTTGAACTATTTTCCTTTTATTTATTTATTTCTTTTACAGAAATGCCTTTGACTGTAAGTTCCAAATTAAGTTGGACATGGCGTGAGGGGCGCATGCGCATGTACTATTTAGTCGCACGCTCATTAGTTGGGCTTCATCTTAAAGCTCTTCACGAATTAGACGCTGATGGTTATAGCACAATGAATTCTGAAGACTTTTGTATCAGCCCGACCTTTACAGGTAAAATCCCTTTGAACTGGTTAGATAAACAATTCTAAATCGTTTGTCCTTTTAGATGATTGTTCTCAAAGAACCTTATATACATCGTCAAATAATAATTTACACCAATTTGGCTTCGGTCCTTTACCAAAATCAATTCCTCCCGCTCTTGTTTCAAATCCAGATCGTCAAGCTCCAGTTAATAAATCATCAACATTGGTTAGTTCAGCATTTTAAATTAGCCCTGTCATAGGTTTAGTACAGACGTCCTATTATTTTTGATGACCACACTTTGTACGTAGGTTCATCTATAGGAACATTCAAGTTTCTAATAGAAAAATATTAACCTTTCGTTTTAAGTCTGTTCATTTTTTAGTTATAGGTCTCAGGAAGATGGCTTTGATGTATTTATTTGTGAAAGTATTCTTGGATTCTACCAAATCCTGTCGATCTCTCAGTATCATTAAGCAGTAGATAGCAAAACGATTAACGGATAATTCTTATGGAACATAGCTTACTAATATGAGTATACATATTTTTTATGGCCTTTTAAAAATGCTTCTTTGTGGACTTTTTTTAATGGAATGGATTTGCTTCAAGTGAAGAGATTAAAAAGGTTACAGTAGTTTACCTGTAAATAAGTCATAATATAATGTGTACATAAAAATTAGGATGAATCATAGTTTTGTGAAAAATACTAGAGTATTTATCTAATAAGTTAATTCCATTTTTGTTTTACAAATGAAGTTAGTTCATCTAGCTGTTGTTAAGGCTGTTACAAAAAAATCACAGCGAAATCTGCACTAATTTCTACTCTGGATCATGTTCAGTGACGTTCAAAACTACTCGGTTGCATGATATTTAGGGACTTAACCTAGAAAGTTGTGATAAACCCAAAACATCAATTCTTTACATCCACATTTCTATCTTTTTCCATCTATTTCTAGCGTCATCAAGTTATGCGCTCATCCGAAAACTGTAGAACACTATTCAGAAGGAATATTTAAGCTATCGTGGACAGTTTTCTAAAGACCATTTCGTCAACTAAATCATACGACCACTTGATGGATGGTTATAGTAGATAAAAATTGTGTTTAAACCCTTCGTTCAGAATAAATTTAAATCTGTATACTTTATAATATGTCAGTATAGTCAACTCTTGAACAAATGTGTGACGTTTCTTATGAATTTACAAAGACATTTACTAAAAGAATTGAATTGATATGACGCTCTGTTTTTTCTACTCACTGTAGGGTGAGCAGTATCTGGATATATATATATATATATATATATATATATATATATATATATATATATATATATATATCGCTTATTCGAACAGTAAAACCATTGCGGTTAAAAACAAATTAGGTCGTGATCATAAAAAAAGTTGGACACAGTTCATTGTTCACATTTCATGTAAATATTAATATTTGAATTCATGAGTTGGTGTGAGATAGACCACCATTGAAAACCTGGAAGTACTGGCCGACCGTTTCGTCCTAGTATGGGACTCCTTAGAAGTGCGCATCCACGATCCCGCACGCGGGACTTTCAGTCTCGCGCGTGGACGCTTAACCTCTAGACCACTGAGACGTCATCGACTCATGAATTTAACTACTAAAATTACTACATTCTCCACAAACCTCCATTTGGTTCATATAAGTTTTGTTGGAAATATACTTTAAAAAACAAAGAAAAGTAACGATTTTATCAATCTGAGATCAGTACATATGTATGAATTGATAACTTTAAGGAAAACGTCCATTTTAGAAAATTATTAATAAATGTAACTAGTTTGAACCTTTTGATAGCTAGGTTATTCCATTTTTGTTAAATTTTGGTTTCCTTATAGTCACAACCTGTAGAAACTTCACCAACGCTGTAAGTAAAGTTAAACCGTCTACTTGAAGCCATTTTACATTTTGCAATATTTTTTTGTGATGATTTAATAATTTTCATTAAAATACGATGAAGACATTCAATTTCAATGAATTTATGATCAAAATGTTCGTTTGCATATCGATGTATTTATAGTGATTTAGTCAAGCGAGAAAGTTTGAAAAATGAGTAGCATTGTCAGAGTAATAATGAGAACTATAACATCATATATAATATAAAATATTAAACATACAAGACGGCATAATATTCATATAGTGAGTATAAATAAACTATGGATACAAGACTACTATGCTAATGATCACTTACAATGTGAATGTAATAAGCAAATTACAATGACTACTTTTATATCATTAAATCCGAAGGAATGTATTGAGGTGAGTGTGAAAAGAAATCACAACTCAGTAAAACGCCAGCTTAAATCGATACATAATTCAATGAAGCAGTAGAATAATTTACTTTTACTTACTTACTTACGCCTGTTACTCCTCGTGAAGGAGCATAGGCTGCTCACCAGCATTCTCCATCCAACCCTGTCCTGGGCAATCCTTTTCAGCTCCTTCCAGTTGTAATTCATCGTCTTCATATCTGCTTCTATTATCCGACGTAATGTGTTCTTTGGCCTTCCTCTTTTTCGCTTCCCTTCAGGATTCCAAGTTAGTACCTGTCTCGTGATGCAGTTTGACGATTTTCGTAATGTATGTCCTATCCATTTCCATCGTCTTTTCCTAATTTCTTCTCCAGCTGGAAGCTGGTTTGTTCTCTCCCACAAAAGTCTGTTGCTGATGGTATCCGGCCAACGGATGTTGAGTATCTTGCGAAGACAGCTATTTATAAATAATTGTACTTTCTTGATGGTGGTTGTTGTAGTTCTCCAAGTTTCAGCTCCATACAGTAGAACTGCTTTGACGTTGGTATTGAAGATTCTCACTTTGATATTGGTTGAAAGTTGTTTTGAGTTCCATATGTTCTTTAACTGTAGGAATGCTGTCCTTGCTTTGCCAATCCTTGCCTTTACGTCTGCATCTGAGCCTCCTTGTTCATCGATGATGCTTCCTAGGTATGTGAAGGACTCTACATTTTCCAGAGTTTCGCCATCAAGAGTGATTGGATTGTTGTTTTCCGCTTTGAATTTGAGGACTTTGGTTTTCCCTTTGTTTATGCTGAGGCCTACTGATGCAGAGACTGCTGCTACACTGGCTGTCTTCATCTGCATCTGTTCGTGTGTACGTGATAGGAGGGCTAGGTCATCTGCGAAGTCCAAATCGTCTAATTGATTTCGAGCTGTCCATTGTATTCCGTCTTTTCCTTCAGATGTCGAGGTCTTCATAATCCAGTCGACCACCAGAAGAAAGAGGAAGGGAGAGAGTAGGCAGCCTTGTCTGACTCCGGTCCTTACTTGGAATGCATCTATCAGCTGTCCTCCATGCACGACTTTGCATTGTAGTCCGTCGTATGAGTTCCGGATAATGTTGACAATCTTCTCAGGAACTCCGTAGTGTCGAAGAAGTTTCCATAGTGTCCTCCTATCTACACTTTCGAATGCTTTTTCATAATCAATGAAGTTGATGTATAGTGATGAGTTCCACTCAACTGATTGTTCGACGATGATCCGTAGTGTTGCAATTTGGTCTGTGCATGATCGATCCTTACGGAATCCAGCTTGTTGATCTCGAAATTGGGCGTCTACTGCATCCTTCATCCGGTTCAGCAACACTCTGTTGAAGACTTTCCCTGGTATTGACAGCAGTGTGATGCCTCTGTAGTTTTCACATTTGCTCAGACCTCCTTTCTTTGGAATCTTGACGAGGTGCTCTTCTTTCCAGTCCATCGGCACTTGTTCCTCCTCCCAAATCCTTTTGAATAGAAGGTAAAGCATGTTTGTAGTTGCTTCGATGTCTGACTTCAGTGCTTCAGCTGGTGTGTTGTCGGACCCCGCTGCTTTCCCGTTCTTGATTTGTCTGATGGCCATTTTGATTTCTTCCTTCGTTGGTGGGTTGACGTCTATAGGAAGATCTGTGTGTGCTGCTTTGGTGTCCGGTGGATTCATTGAAGCCGGCCTATTCAAGAGTTCCTCGAAGTATTCTACCCATCTGTTCCGCTGTTGTTGAATTTCAGTGATTGGATTGCCTTCTTTGTCGTTGACCGGTCTCTCTGGTTTACTGTATTTCCCTGATAGTTTCTTCGTTGTATCGTGAAGCTGTTTCATATTTCCTTCTCTAGCAGCTTTTTCCTTCGTCGTTGCTAGTTCTTCCACGTATTTCTCCTTGTCGGCTATAATGCTCCTCTTCACTTGTTTGTTTGCTTCTATGTATTTAGCTTGTGCTTAGACTTTCTCTGATCGTGTTCGGCTGTTGTTTATTGCTGCCTTCTTGTTCTTCCTTTCTTTGATCTTGTCCAGAGTTTCTATAGAGATCCACTCCTTATGATGGTGTTTCTTTAGGCCCAGAACCTCTTGACACGTTGAAGTCAATGCTTCCTTGATGCCTTTCCAGTTGTCCTCCATACTAGTTTCTTCTTCTTTCAGTAGATCTTGTAAGGCTTGGAACCTGTTGTTGAGAGCAATCTTGAATTCATTGAGTTTGTCAGTATCTCGAAGGAAGGCTGTATTGAACCTTTGTAGTGCTGTTTGTCCACTTGTCCAGTTCTTTTTTAGCTTCAGTTTTAAATTGGCCACAACTAGGTGGTGATCTGAAGCTATGTCAGCTCCTCTCCTGGTTCTCATATCTTCCATTGTCCTTCGGAATTTTTTGTTGATGCAAATATGATCTATTTGGTTCTCTGTAGTGTGGTCCGGTGAGATCCATGTAGCCTTGTGTATACGCTTGTGTGGAAATATTGTGCTTCCTATGACCAATCTGTTGAATGCACATAGATTTGCAAATCTTTCTCCATTTTCGTTTCTTTCTCCCAGTCCATGTCGTCCCATAATATCTTCATATCCAGTGTTGTCTATTCCGACTTTGGCATTTAGATCTCCCATCAGAATAGTTAGGTCCTTTCTTGGGCATTTCTCAATGACTGACTGCAGACGCTCGTAGAACTGATCTTTAATGTCGTCGTTGCTATCATTGATGGGTGCATAACATTGGATAATATTCATTAAGATCCCCTCCTTCTTTGTTTTGAATGATGCTTTGATGATTCTGGATCCGTGAGATTCCCATCCTACAAGTGCATTTCGTGCTACTTTGGACAGCATAAGAGCGACTCCCTGAGTGTGTGGAGCCTTTTTCTCTTCTTGACCGGAGTATAGCAGCATCTCTCCCGTAGCTAGCTTTTTCTGTCCAGCTTGGGTCCAGTGGGTTTCGCTGATTCCCAGTACGGCTAAGTTGTATCTCCTCATTTCCAATGCTATTTGACTGGTCTTCCCTGTTTCCTACTTTGTTCGAACGTTCCATGTACCTATAAAAATTTTTGCTCTGGTTGTTAGAAGGGGCATCGGCCTCGTGGCTTCCGAAGGAACTCGGCTTTCACCATGAAGCGTCATAATTCTTCTAAATGAAAACCTTCTAACTCTCGGGGCAGAGTTTAAATGGTTTGGATTATTTTTTCTGGTAAGCGTTTTTTGCGAGTTAGATTTCTACGGGATGGGGACGCTAACCCCATGCCCAACCCTCCTTCTTTTATCCGGGCTTGGGACCGGCAGTAACCCTAGAAGAGCTACAGGCGAGTTACAATAATTTAATAAATGAAATTATTATCATCAAAAATAGTAATAGGTTCAGACCATTTCAAGTAAATATTTTGAAGAGTTTTATGTTGCACACGAAAACCGTATTCCAGTTAACCAATGCTTTTATTATTTTAAGCAGTAGTAGCCGAAATAATCTTCATAGATCTAAAAAGATCGTTTAATCAACGTTAAATTACCGCTATCGAAATCAGCTTATTATGTTTATATTCAACTCGTAACTGATTTTAAAAGAAAATAAAACCCAGTGAGATAAACTGTACAGTTTGATAATGAATTTATTGGAAAGAAATAGGGTACAATTTCAGTTTCTACCACGATTTCTCCTTTCCTACATATATGATTTAAAATTGGTTAGTCAACAATCTTTGTTTATACATTTCACACATTATAAACTAAGCACACCAAGAAAATAATTCTGACTTGAAGTAAACATTGATTAAAAGTATTTGGAAGAGGGACTACAAAATGGTTTGAGGAAACATTATCCTTCTGTATATGACTAAAATTATATCATTCATTAATGTCATTCTTATTCGTTCACCATGATAACGGAATTAGTTATATTAACATTTCTATTTAATATGTAAGCTGATCAAAACCTAATGAAAAATTAACAATAACAAAAGAAATCTGAGCTTCAGTTTATTTCTATAAAAAGAAATTGTTGCTAAACTAGTGAAAAAAGACCTGAATTAGTTATTGTTATAAACTGTTGTTAGTGAAACATACAATCTTAATAACTTAATTTTAGCTTATGGATTTGTAGAAATCAACTTAATTGAGACAGTTACTTCTCTTCCATAAGTTGTCGTTGTGTTCATTAAATTTTGCTTTCATCATTACATGGTTTCAACTACAGAGCTATCCAGAAACCAAGGTGTATTGACCCAACATCTCATTTTGTTTTAAACCACACCTTCGACTTTACGCTAGATTGTATCCACAATATTTAAGTCTCCTGTAGAGCACTTAACTATCAGCTAATGCAATGAAGTCTAGTGTTGCATATTCTCCAACTCCAATCAGTTTGCAATATTGCTCGATCATCATCATCATTCAGTGTTATCAGTTAATAATAATGTCACTCCTTTCTCTCGTTTATTTAGCTTTCAACAGGGGGCAAAATTAAGCTCTCCACAAACGTCCATTTATTTAACAGTTTTGGAAAATATCCGAATGCTCGACAACGAAAGAAATGTGAGTTTACGTTTTCTGAATGTTCATTTTAATCGTAAATTTCGAACATTTTTTAGAAAATTTCCTTTTATTTGACCTGTATATTCAGTCAGTAAAATTAGTAAAGATTATCGAAATTTGCCAATTGCCAAACGTATAAGATTGTTACCTTCCTGTACACAACACCATGCTGATGTTTAACAGTGTTCGAAAATGTTGAATATAAACTAGATATTTGTTTACTATACGATGCTCTTTATTTATTATATCTGATGCATTTACGTTCATCTGTATTTTAATTTATTCAGCTCCCACTTGATATGTTTCTGTTATTCGGATCAAAAAGACACTACTAAAACATAATTATTTTGGCACTGTTCAGAATATTAATAAATTTACAATTCTATTGTGCTATTTAAAAGGTTTGACTGATTTTTTTAAAATATTGATTACAAAGCTAGTGTAGCAAATGGGACGAATCGAAAAGAACTAATCTATATCAAAAACTATTAATAAGTTACATATTGTCTCAAATCATTTTTCTTTTTTAATTTTCTTATAAATGAAAGTGTTTTTGAATGATGAAGCTTTGTCAGTACCATACAAGTAATATCTGTAGTCCATCGTTCTCATCACTAAGGTGAATTTTCATCATATTCACTGATCCATGTGATCACATGTTTCAAAATGCGCCTTTACAAGTTTCCGAACATCTTCAAAACACACATTTTTTCAACAATTAAATCCAATAGTTTTATTCTTAAAATGTAATGAATGAAAATTTTCATCTTACCGTTTATTTAAATTCATAATTCATAATTCCCAGTAGTATCAACTGCATAATTAAGTAATAACATTTGAACATTTCAAGTTAACTAATCTCGGAACTTTTTTAGCTTGTTAAAAGACATCACTTCGCATGTTTATGACCCAGCAGTTTCATGAATATTGCTTCATTAGTGAAGCTGCTAGTAAGGAGTTATCGAAATTTCCAATTCTCGCATATAATGAATCTTCATTTATATTAGACCTCAGCTTTTTCGCCCTAAAAGAATAAGAGTTCATCTAATTTCGGCATCTGCTTTGTCACACATAATCTGATAAAGCGTGTATTTTAGAAATATTGATATTTTAAAGATCTTTAAATACTATTTTTCTAAAGCTGCTCACCAGTATAATGGAAAAAAACCCAGCTTCGGTTGACATAAAGCAAATCTGGAAATTCTATCTCTTTAACCGCAAATAAAAATTAAGTGCTTCTTGAATCGTTCATATATATGAACTTTTCTGTAAATCTAGAAATATTTGTTATATTGAAATAATTAATCTGAAAAATAAATAAATGATTTTTCATAAGGTGATGATTAACATTGTATTTAAGGTAATGTTGATGTTAATAATAGCGTAATACTTTAAGTGAATTTACTTTCTTGGTTTCTTATAGGGTAAACAGACGGATAGCAAAACTCAGTCGTGGATTAAACGTCTAAGTATAGTGTCAGGATTAACTTCAACGAGTAAAACAAATGTCGGTCATTCAGAGTTAAATTCTATCAGCATGAAATCTATGTTATTCAATATATTACGATTAGCTGTAGAGTGTACATTAGATGAGAACAATGGTTTACGTCATTCAGCCCAAAAAGTATCCGTTATATGTAATTTTTCCTATCTTTAATGTTTGATAAATTGTTTTGTTAGATCATATCCACAAATAAAAACATGTACGCATATGAATTAGACATTTACTGTATCGATGAAAATAAACCATGCTCAGGTTTGATAACAAAAATCTAACATTGTCTTTTCCAGTCAATTTTAAGTCACATTGTTGACTACTATCAGTTATCTGTAATTGTTGTTTTAAATCAGCTTGGATTCAAGCAAATGCTTATAAGTATTTTTTGAAGACATTAACATAAAAGTTATCCTAGCATGTTTGCAATGAAATATTTCCAACGACGTGTTCAGAAGTTTGGGCAAAGTTTTCGGAAGTAACCAGACACTGTGGTGTGAATACCTTACTATAGTATAACTATACTGACGAAATCTGGAACCTCTATAACCCCTTAAATAAATTGTGATCATATATATACTTAGTTCCACAAGTATTTTATTTCATAAATGTCACTGAAAACAACCTCAGTACGGTATCGATCTACTTTTAACTGGTTTATTCAGCATTTGGCTTTACGTACTGAAGTTAGGTGATTTAAGAGAGACAGCAATCCAGCCTTTATTCAATCTGAAATTATATTTTTATGGAGAAAAGGAGAATAATGGAAGTCATCTTGGTGTCTAGAATTTTCGGGACCTTTTTTGTATTTCATTTAACAGTTCATTGAATAATAACTTCCAATTATTATTTATCTAACACAACATTCTTACTTCAATAAACAACGTTTTCGTCAGTTAACATTTGTAGTTCCCAGGATATAAAATATTGAATATCCAGTCTTCTGCTTGTATTGCCTTCTTGCATATGGTTTTTCATCTCATCGTTTTATGATAATGATGAAGTATAAATTAAAACAATAGGCAAAAGAAAGGTAACAAGAAGTCACAAACTATTGACATAGTGCAAATACATAGCTTGCAATCGTCTGTTTGCATCTTATGGAGTATTCTGTCATCTGAACCGTCTTCTCGTCTGGTTACTAAGTGTTCCGTCAAATGCTGTGTTTTCTATGCACTCAAACTTCACTCTGTCAGACAGCTGTTGCAATTTCGACGCCACGTTCCGCTACACACTACAAATATTCTTGTATTAATACTGGTTCTTTGTGGTTTATATAAAGGTGATACCTTTTTTCATGTTGACCAACACTTCTGTTTCACTTTGTGTTACGAAATTGCAGACTTTTGAGATTAATAACAGTTTTTTTTGTTTAGGCCATTAATGATGTCGGAAGGCTAATACGATGGTATGATGCTGATCTTTTGTTGGAAATGATTTCGTTGCATATGATAGGTCCGCCAACTATGATGTCGTATGCAACTTTAAAGATTTTACGTGATGGTCTGTCTGAATTATGCATGTATGATGAAATTTTACAAAAAGAAGAGGAAGAACCTGGTTTCACTGAGAAATATGCGATTTCTGGAACTGTTCCGATTTTAAATGTAGCATTGCTTTATGGTTTGTTTTCACCGGACAGATCAAGACTGTGGCTTCAATGTTGTCAGCAATATATTCTGGATAGCACAATGGCTCTTTTTATCAGTACTTTATCAATAGAATGTGCTTTGAGAACCCTTTGTCTTGTACACAGATTGTCTAATTTATCACTCGTAGCATGCACCTGGGAAAATATGAGGCCTAATCCTTTTTCAAATCTGCCATACGCACAACGTAAACTAGATCTAGATGCGAAAGATGTAGTAAGTTACTTTGGAACAATTAAAATTTACGATATCATATCCATATTAAACGTTTATTGTATATGGTAATATTATATGTTTATCTTCGATTAAATAAACGGTTGGTCTCTAAGTTTACTGAAAAATGAAATGTAGTCTTCATTTTTGAGACAGAATTTGCGTTCTCAAGATTTGAAGATTTATGAATAAATTATTTCAGTTTAGTAGTAGTTTACAAAAATAACATGATAATTAGTGCAAATATAATCTACTTTAGAAAAACATTTAAAGCAACTCATTATAGACATTGTCATCTTATTTCAAATGTAACGTAGTAAATGTTAAAGTGAGGTTGGAACGATGATAATTCCATCCCAACTAATAGATATACACTTGTAAAACATGTTCAAAGCTGGTGGTTTGTTCAAAAGACACTTTTTTTTTTTTTTTCAATTCATTGGTTTGATACACGTGACTCAGTATTAAAGTGAACATCTATTAACTAATACGAAAACTCACTTTAATTTCTTCTACATGAATGTTTAAGCTTTAAAACTTTTTAATACAAATTAACTAAAATGTAAGTATTTACTTTTAAGATAAACGAATCATCATAATAACGAGGTTGCTGTAACTACAATTCTATTCTTATCATTTGATTACAAACTTAAGCTTGATACCTTCTTATTTATCCGGTGGTAGCTCTAGAGAAGCTCCAGGTGGAGTTATTCTTAGTGTTTACTTTATTATAAATGCATTTGGAAAAGTGGGCTCATCAAAATTCACGGTGAACTTAGGTTTGAATCTTTTGCATACTTGATACTTATTCTTCATCATAATTTATTTGCTGAATCAAATTCTTCTAGAAAAATTTTAAAAATTTTCATTTAGTTAACAACTGTAATTACCCATCGACACATTAATCGTGAAAAATATGTATGTGAAATAAAAATTGTTTGCTATTTTAAAACATTTTTTGTAGTCTGGAAATTTGCTTTGCGATTCCTCAATTCAAAAACTACCCACCAAATATCATGAAAAATAAATTGCTGAACTCTTGAACGTATTGAAATGAAATCGCTCTAACCCTTAAGCAGTAAAAATAATGAAAGTGCTTTAAAATATCCTATGAAAATACTGAATAACATAATATTAACTTTGCTAAAACTGGGGAAAACAGCTTTTTGCCTTATGGTATATAGCCGATAACTGTGAAGTAAATTTAATAAACAAAAGACCAAATAAACCTATAGTTGGTTGGCTATATTTATAATGCATAGTTTTGAGAAACCAGAGTATACTTTTAACATGGCAGTCTTTAGTAAGTTGAACAACTTAGAATTGTACAAAGTCTAGATTTTTCACTCTCTTTACTTACAACTAATATTAGTGCAGATAAATTTAACTTTATGTCACATAGGTTTTGAAACTTAAAATTGGTTTGATAGTAAATCCTTTATTTAATAAAAAAACTGTAGGTAGAATGTATTAAAGGCGTTGTCGAATTTGCTCAACGCATAGACGTGAAACTTGGACCTACAAATGAGCCAATACTGAATGTTGTCAATTTTCACAAAATGATGATAACGCAGAAGCCATATTTATCATGGTATGTAACAATTGTCTGGACGTTTTATATGCCTTATAGTTTGTTTATTCAAAGAACAAAGTACAATGGCACCGTCGATTAGCTTTAGATTTTTGAATATTTACTTTACGGTGTTTCTAATAGTTATTGAAATTAACTTCTCCGTGGTAATCACACTCTAAAAGTGAAATACACTGTTTCCACCGATTGCATTAAACTTATTTTTGACGATTACCCTTATCTTCCTATGTTGGGTGAACACTAAAATAACTTATACATGGTACAAAGACAGTTTTATTTTTATTAAAAAAGTGACTTTCATAATTCGCCAGTTTATTTTGACGTTATTGTTAGGAAATAAGCTAGTTCACTGACTTAACTATTACAATCAGCGATATTACATAATGTATCTATAACTTACAATCATTTTCTTGTTGTTATTATTACCTAATAAAGTAGGTTCATAAAACATTAGACGAGTAAGGGGTCTATGGGAGCAGTAATTCCCATCCGCAATACCATCGATCTCACTATATCGTACAAATTAAAATGTCCTCACTTAATAAACTTGAAAATTATCGGAATCAGTAGTCCCACTATCATGTAAGAACTAGACCTGTAAAATCAAATAGGATGTCTACTTTTAGGTTCTGTGTTATTATTGTATTAGGTATCATAACCTAAGTGTATATATGGTTTATATATGTGATAGAACACAGTGGTGAACCCAACAAATCGCTTAAATTCACCATGTCTAGGGTCAATATTTCATAGGGAAGTAAAACGTCATTCATATCATGTTCAAACTATGATGATTGAGACAATCACTTGATAAATTTAACAGAATTATGTCATTCACGTTTGATGTATTCTTAAGCTATTTTGTTCTAAAGTAAATGATTTTTGGAATCTAACCAACTATTTATGTTGTGAATTCTGAAAACACCTTAGTAAACAAGGTTTACCGTATTTAATTTTGAAAATTTGAGTACTCTTGATTCATGTTTCGTTACTTATACGAACACAGGAGACAAAAGTTAAACTTGTATAAGTTTTGACATGAAATGAAACTCTGGGTTGTAAAATTTAGTCAGTTCTCAATTAAAAATGAACAAATACTGAGGACATGTTTGATTATTTGTTGCAGAAAGCAAACTAAACAATTTTTATGGTTTGAAGTATCAATTCCATTCAAACCAAATTTACTTAATTTTTGACAATTTTTACCATATTTCATTTGTTCATAATTATTTTGTTAATAACGTCTTTTGTGAACTGATTTCACGTTTTTTATTCCGTGTTGTATCATTAAAACATTTAAAGAAACAAGCTTTAGAATCAGTTAGAACGATAACAAGTAATCGTAAATGAATTTGTAGTATATTTGTTACAATTTATGATCAATTAAACCCTAATTGAAGCCCTAACTAAGAGTTTGGTCATATTACTGATACCTTTTTTATGCGTACAAACGTCATTTTACTGTTTCCAGATAATATGTAAGCTTAAAGTTAAAAATTGAAACAATTACACCATTGCTTATGATGTTTCCTCATGACTATTAGTAGTTGAAATCGAAGACTTAGTTGTCACACCTTCACCATTAATGCTTTCTGATCCCCAATAGTTTGAAACTAAGAATGATTGAAATCAATAACAGCTTCTCAAGCAAACAGTCAGGATAATTGTAAAAATTCGGAATAATATTAAGAGCTAGTGATGGTATTTTGCATTACATCTTTTCTACAGCGATCTTAAAAATACAACTGAAAACCATTCTTGATGTTGTATATCATGTACACATTTAACAGTTTGATCAAAGATGATAATTACGCCTTAATTTCAAAGTCAGTTCACTTCTAGTAAATTTGAAAACTATTTTGGCTGTAAAATTGAGTTTTTACCGAATACCAAGCTGTAAATGATAGGAATGAATTTCTAAAAAAGTTGTTTTGATTAACAAACCTAGAAATTTGAAGGAAATTCGGACTCATGAATTTAGTCACTTCATTTTATTTATCTGTATACTAATCAACTGACATTATTTAATAATAAAAACTAATATATAATTACTGACTACTCTCTATAGCCTACCTGATATATGAAGAAGCTGAAACAATCAAGATTAATTTACAGTTCCACATTATACTTAGGATATTATTAGAAAAGAATGTAAAATATAGCATAGTTATATTATCTTACCAAAGGACTTTCAATTTCGCTTTTATAATAAATTTTTTGTCATGTCGCTTTTGACTTTTGAATTTCCATTGATTTATTTAGTTTACAGCTCCCTCAATCAACTGCAAAGTGTTCACTTACATATTTCGTCCTCAAGCTGGTTACCAAATTAGAGTCTGTTATATATTCTTATATACCACCATCTGTAAATTCGAGTCGGCCTAATCCAGACGTTCGTATGACTGGTGGTCTTCTTTTATCTCCAATTTTGCCATACCTTATCACGTGGCCATTAGCTCTTCTTCCTCCTAGCTTGGATAAAACTTTAGGGAATCCATCAAAGGAGGCGAGGATACTTGCTGTTCGTAAACTACTACGCATGTGAGTTTTATGTAGAACTTTAATTGTTAATGTAGTTCATTGTTATCGCTTAATTACATATTGCTCCAAAACTTTGCTTATCATGATTACTCTCACAATGTAGATTGTTTTCTAACTTGATAAAAAAGCCTAAGACCCTATGAATTCTCTCAAGAGCAGTGTATTCAACTGTTCTTGGTCTGTAACAATATGAAAACAAGATATTTCAGCTTTATTCAATAATCATATCTTATCTAAAGTGAGCACCTTCTTAGTACATTATGCTCGTTTAAATTTCTAACTGGATGCTTTTGTTGTTGACGAAAAACTATTCACTAAGGTCAACTTTATGACGATTCTTAATCTACTGAACCAACAGAAACAAGATGTTAGTTATGTCCATAACTAACCAATCTAATCGTTACTAATACTCCCACCACATCAATTGGTCTGATGTGTCTGTATATTATCCCTATTACATGTAACCTGCCAATTGAAGGACATTATTATCTTATAATATTAGTGTGGCTCACAATTTCTATTCATTTTGATAAGATACGGAATACTAGTCGGTATGTTTGTGCGTTTCATTTAATGACAATAATTCCCCTAATTATTGTACTAATCGAATTGTTTTTTTACGTTTAGAAACAGATCAAGTTTAAAGTACAGTTGTCCTTGTTCTGACTAGAGCTTTCATATAGACGCTGGGGTCACCAGTATCGCATTTACGGTTCTAGTAGTACATCTTTTGAACAAATTCAATCCTACACAAGTGACACACATAACACCAACATTGGAGTTAAGTCAGTCAATAACAAAGTAAAACTTCGTACGTACGTACATCAGTTCGAGTTGCCACACCACATTATCACAGAGATGAAGTTGTCGATTCAAATCCCGTAGTGCTAGATGTACTTACTTACTTACTTACTTACGCCTGTTACTCCCAATGGAGCATAGGCCGCCGATCAGCATTCTCCAACCCACTCTGTCCTGAGCCTCCTTTCCTAATTCCATCCAATTCTTGTTCATCTTTTTCATGTCTATTTCCATTTCTCGACTTAATGTGTTCTCTGGTCTTCCTCTCCTCCTTCGGACTTAAGGATTCCATGTGAAGGCTTGTCTTGTGACGCAGTTGGGTGCTTTTCTCAATGTGTGTCCTATCCACTTCCAGCGCTTCTTCCTGATTTCCTCCTCCACTGGGATCTGGTTTGTTCTCTCCCACAGTACGTTGTTGCTAATAGTGTCCGGCCAACGGATCTGAAGTATTTTGCGTAGACAACTGTTAATAAGCACCTGTATCTTCTGGATGATGGCTTTCGTAGTTCTCCAGGTTTCTGCCCCATACAGTAGAACTGTCTTGACATTTGTATTGAAAATTCTGACTTTGGTGTTGGTTGACAGTTGTTTTGAGTTCCAGATGTTCCTCAGTTGTTAATATGCTGCTCTTGCTTTGCCGATCCGCGCCTTCACATTTGCATCAGATCCAACCTGTTCATCAATGATGCTGCCCAAATATCTAAAGGTTTTTACATCTTCCAAACCTTCTCCGTCAATTGTGATTGGATCGATGCAAGCTATGTTGCATCGGAGAACCTTGCTCTTCCCTTTGTGTATATTGAGACCTACTGCTACTGAGGCTGCTGCTACACTGTTCGTCTTCTCCTGCATTTGTTGTTGCGTTTGGGATAGAAGGGCCAGATCATCTGCGAAGTCCAGATTGTCCAACTGCATCCTAGATGTCCATTGTATCCCGTGTTTCCCTTCAGATGTTGACGTCTTCATGATCCACTGGATCACCAGGAGAAAGAGAAAGGGTGAGGGTAAGCAACCTTGCCTAACACTGGTCTTCACTTCGAACGACTTTATCAACTGTCCTCCATGCACGATTTTGCAGTGTAATCCATCATATGAACTATGTATGATATTGACTATCTTTTGAGGCACGCCGTAGTGTCGAAGAAGTTTCCATAGTGTTGTTCTGTCCACGCTAACAAATGCCTTATCTGTGGTGTTTGAACGAACTAATGATACTATTGTACTGGATATCAAGTTCATTTACTGCTTCATAGTTAATACACGCAGTTCTAGCATCTTGAAAGAAACAGTTTGGCATTCTTAACAGCTCTCTTTCCAAACTCGGTATGTTGATTCCAGCAATTAATCGATCCCTAAGTTGTACATGAAGTTGATCACCGAAATTACACTTGGCAGCTTGTTTCTGCAATTCAAGGATGAATTCCCGAACTTTTTGATCATTTTGACGAACCATCTTATGAAATTTCGCCATTTCACGGCATTCGAAACTGGTGCATTTTACATGATTTAATAATAGCTCTTTAAGAGTTGCATAAGGAAGTGAGATAGGTTTTTCTGGATATGCCAAAGTTTTTAATAAGCTGTAAGCTTCTCTCACAATGAATGTCAGGAAATGTGCCACGATTTTATCACCTTTGACATCTTCCTTAGTCATGCTCCATATTTCAAACCTTTCCAAATAATCCTCAAAAGAATTAAGAAGACACAGGCACAACCGAATGTACTGTATTTGGAATTTGAAATCGTACAATCAACCAGTACAATAGTATCATTAGTTCGTTCAAACACCACACTTATCGTAGTCAAAGAAGTTGATGTAGAGTGATGAATTCCATTCAATTGATTGTTCCACAATGATCCGTAGAGTTGCGATTCGGTCTGTACACGATCTATCCTTACGGAATCCTGCCTGTTGGTCACGAAGTTGGGTGTCTACGCAGTCCTTCATCCTGTTTAACAATACTCTGTTGAAGACTTTTCCCGGTATTGAAAGAAGAGTGATGCCCCTGTAGTTATCACACTTGCTGAGATCGCCTTTCTTCGGTATTTTGATCAGGAGTCCTTCTTTCCAGTCTTTTGGTACTTGTTCCTCATCCCAAATCTTATTGAAGAGAATGTGGAGTATCCTTGCAGTTGCCACTACGTCTGCTTTTAGTGCCTCTGCTGGAATGTTGTCTGGTCCTGCTGCTTGGCCACTCTTGATTTGTCTGATGGCCATGCTGATTTCTACAATTGTTGATGGGCCAACGTTGATTGGGAGGTCCGTGGGTGCTGCTTCGATGTTGGGTGGGTTCAGTGGAGCTGTTCGATTCAAGAGTTCTTTGAAGTGTTCTACCCGCCTGTTTTGTTGCTCTTCAATGTTGGTGATTACCTTGCCTTCCTTGCTTTTCACTGGTCGTTCTGGTTTGCGGCGATTTCCAGAGAGTTTCTTTGTTATATCATACAGTTGTCTCATGTTCCCTTCTCTTACAGCCCTTTCCGCCGTCTTTGCTAGATCTTCCACATATTTAAGTTTGTCGGTTCTGATGCTCTTCTTCACTTGTTTGTTTACTACTGTGTATTCAGCTTGTGCCTTGGCTTGTTCTGCTCTTGTTCGAATGATATTGATTGCTGCCTTCTTGTTTCTCCTTTCTTGAATCTTATCCAGTGTATCAACAGTGATCCATTCCTTGTGATGGTGCTTCTTGTGACCCTAGACCTCATGACATGTTGAAGTGATTGCCTCTTTGATCCCCTTCCAGTTGCTCTCCACAGTAGTTCCTTCTCCATTGAGTAGATCATGAAAGGCCTGGAACTTGTTGCTGAGGACTATCTAGAATTTGTTGAGTTTGTTAGTATCCTGAACTCCGCCTGTAGCTCTTCTAGGGTTACTGCCGGTCCCAAGCCCGGATAAAAGAAGGAGGGTTGGGCATGGGGTTAGCGTCCCCATCCCGTAGAAATCTAACTCGCAAAAAACGCTTACCAGAAAAAATAATCCAAACCATTTAAACTCTGCCCCGAGAGTTAGAAGGTTTTCATTTAGAAGAATTATGACGCTTCATGGTGAAAGCCGAGTTCCTTCGGAAGCCACGAGGCCGATGCCCCTTCTAACAACCAGAGCAAAAATTTTTATAGGTACATGGAACGTTCGAACAAAGTAGGAAACAGGGAAGACCAGTCAAATAGCATTGGAAATGAGGAGATACAACTTAGCCGTACTGGGAATCAGCGAAACCCACTGGACCCAAGCTGGACAGAAAAAGCTAGCTACGGGAGAGATGCTGCTATACTCCGGTCAAGAAGAGAAAAAGGCTCCACACACTCAGGGAGTCGCTCTTATGCTGTCCAAAGTAGCACGAAATGCACTTGTAGGATGGGAATCTCACGGATCCAGAATCATCAAAGCATCATTCAAAACAAAGAAGGAGGGGATCTTAATGAATATTATCCAATGTTATGCACCCATCAATGATAGCAACGACGACATTAAAGATCAGTTCTACGAGCGTCTGCAGTCAGTCATTGAGAAATGCCCAAGAAAGGACCTAACTATTCTGATGGGAGATCTAAATGCCAAAGTCGGAATAGACAACACTGGATATGAAGATATTATGGGACGACATGGACTGGGAGAAAGAAACGAAAATGGAGAAAGATTTGCAAATCTATGTGCATTCAACAGATTGGTCATAGGAAGCACAATATTTCCACACAAGCGTATACACAAGGCTACATGGATCTCACCGGACCACACTACAGAGAACCAAATAGATCATATTTGCATCAACAAAAAATTCCGAAGGACAATGGAAGATGTGAGAACCAGGAGAGGAGCTGACATAGCTTCAGATCACCACCTAGTTGTGGCCAATTTAAAACTGAAGCTAAAAAAGAACTGGACAAGTGGACAAACAGCACTACAAAGGTTCAATACAGCCTTCCTTCGAGATACTGACAAACTCAATGAATTCAAGATTGCTCTCAACAACAGGTTCCAAGCCTTACAAGATCTACTGAAAGAAGAAGAAACTAGTATGGAGGACAACTGGGAAGGCATCAAGGCAGCATTAACTTCAACGTGTCAAGAGGTTCTGGGTCTAAAGAAATACCATCATAAGGAGTGGATCTCTACAGAAACACTGGACAAGATCAAAGAAAGGAAGAACAAGAAGGCAGCAATAAACAACAGCCGAACACGAGCAGAGAAAGTCTAAGCACAA